TTTTTTTTTGTGTTAATATCTGGCTATTAAATAGTAAACTCAGAGGTAGGACACACTATTCCAGCAGATAGCCAAAAAGCAGACTAGGAGGACTTGTGTTTTATTTTGACTAGAGTGATGCTGACTTTTACAACAGGCTATTTATGTGTTATACAAAATTGAGACTTTAAGGTTAGTCTAGATGTGGCTTTGGAAGCGTGTACCCTTTTAGAGCATATTGGAACACGAAACACGGAAAAGCTCTGTAATCCAAAAGATTGGATTTTGGTTTGGTTATAGGTGCCCAGACTAGCTTATAAATGCTAGTTGGATAGGGATGGCTGTGGCAACATGGAATTTGGTATATGAACACTCGTATATGAATATGAACATTCAGTGGACCTGCAGTTCAGTGTTAGTATCTTGTCAAGATACATAAAACTGCAATGTCTTGTGCAGATATTAGAGGGAAGCTGTGCCTTTAACTCAGGAACTTCACGGAAATGCCTTTTCAGCTCGTGTGTTTGAGACCCTTTGGCTATTATTAYCTGCTTGGCTCTATAATTGGAACTTTAATCAGTTTATTTGTCATGTTTATAGTATGCTGCTTGTACAGAGGTAGTTACCCCAGCAGGGTATCATCTCTATTACTCATAGCCTGACACTTGCCTAGCCATGTTACAATGGGAATACCCACCACACACCGAAGAGGCAGCAGAAGTGCTTGCTTTGGGTCTTTGAGGACTTCTAAAATTAGCAAAGTTGCCATCTACCAAGTTCTGGGGAGGTTAAGACTGATAGTTGATTTTTCTCTCTTCCTTGATGTTCCTCCCTCACCCACCTTAAAGTCACTCTTCTCATGATTGTTTTGCAAATGGCCATCATTTAGGCAACACTATTTTTTTCATTATGTCAAATTTTTTACCGTTATGACTTGTTCATGTTGCATTTATGATACTAATGTAAGACACTTTTATTTAATAACTTGCACATTTGCTTTAAGCAAGCTGCCACATTGAGTTTTTGTAGTGCTGTGTGCTCATTTCACTCTGAACAATATTTTGAACTTATCTCCATTGTTTCAATTTAGGACTCCTAGCATCTCCACAGTCAGCACCTGGAAATCTAGACACTGGGAAATGTGGAGATGCTAAAGGTACTGGAACAGGAGGAAGCAGAGAAAACAGCACCGTTGATTTTAGTAAGGTAAATAGCACGAAATACATTGGAATTCAGCACAATGAGACTATTAAAAAAATGTTCGTTATTGCTGTCTTARTTAAGTATGACTTCTATAAGAATCGCAAGTATGACTTGTATAGGAATCAGAAGGTGATGTAGATGAAATATGTCTCATGTTTTGATAGTCTTCCCAGGGGGAMTGATCTTTCTATTTCATGAGGTGATTTCTCCAGTATTGTGGTAAATTACTGAGCGAAGTCACTCTACTGTCTCATACAAAGGGAGGTATTTTCAGAACTGCTATAAAGTCTCTTGCAATAACAGTTTATAGATGCCACTATAAGGGGTTTTATTTTTTTTGTAGAGGGAGTTTTTAAAGGAGACTTGTCCTGCACTACTACGGAGTTTGCCACACAAAAGCTATCATACATCTCACTTGTGTATTGTAAATCCTGTCTCTYTCTTTTATGATCTGAATTTGCCATGCAAGTTCCACCTTGGCTGTTAAAAAACAGTTCTGTGGTATTATCTGCAGTGTGAAAGATTATAAGAAAACTGATTTGTCAAGTTAAATAAATGCACTTAAACGAAGGTAGCTTGCACTGTTGTTCTCATCTGATCATGGCAGGTGCCATTTGTTCCTGCTCCTCTGTCACAGTTTTTATGTTTTTGCTTGGCCTGTCCTTCTGTACACCTGCCTTGTCTCCTGTTGGGCAGGAGTCAGCCTCCTGGCACTGTAGTTGTGGCACACTTGGTGTGGGACTCAAGAGGCCATCTGTAAGTTGTCTGGGTAGTGGTGTTCGGTGTGTGCGTGCCTATGCGAACAGAGTTCATGTGCGGAGCCCTTCTCCAATTGCATATGGAAACAAGCGGTAACTTCTCAATTGTGTTTTTCAGGGATGAAAAATACACGAAAATATCTTTTGCAAAAATTTGCCTTTTTCTAACATGAAATACGAAGCTGTGAAATAACTAGCCACGTTCTAGAAAATGTGTAATTACATGAACTCTCTTCAGACTTGTTAAGATGTGCCCTATCATGGAATGCTTGTCATGAGAAGTAATCTTAAAAGGTGGCTACGCAGTTTGGAGGCTTTTAGAATATAATAGGTAGTAGTGATGCTAACTTCTAGAAAATAGTTTAATAGATGGCTGGCTGACATTTTATACTTATGTTTGTCTTTTTTGTATTGTGAGATATTTGATTTGCTTTTATATTTTTTCTTTGTGGAGTAAATGTTTACTAAATACTGATCATATGTAAAATTATGTTACAGAATTACTGCTAACAACTGTTGAGGAATAAACACTTGTTCCATCTTTTTACAAATAGGTTGATATGAACTTCATGAGGAAAATTCCTTCAGGAGCAGAAGCATCAAATGTGTTAGTGGGAGAAGTAGATTTTTTAGAAAGACCTATTATTGCATTTGTGAGGCTCTCCCCTGCTGTCCTTCTCTCAGGTCTCACAGAGGTTCCAGTTCCTACACGGTAAATAAATGCCCAGAAAGCTAAGTTTTACTTATACCATAAATTAATTATGATGTTTAAGTTTTTAAAACTTTTTCAAGCCTGTGTTGCCTTTATAGAGATGCATCATGAGGCGTGTTGTAGTTCCCTTATCTGCAACACAACATGACAGAGAGAATCCACTGGGCCTAAAAGTCTATATATAGTCTGAAACTGTTACTTTGTAAAAATCTATGCCTAGATGAGTAATCTAAATGGTGAAAAAAACCCTTACTTTCTCGATATATGTACCTCAATCTACCTTCTGGTAACTAATCTGCAGCTGAAGTTGTAGTATTGAAGTATTAGTATGAAGTACTGAAGTGTTAGACTGTTCAGTGGTTGACAACTCTGATTTTTATGTTTTAAAATTATTGTAGTGCTTGTTTATCTTCACTTTTCTGCATGTACTGTAATGAAAAGGAAAAAGCAATTTTAGCAGTGTTCCTTTAAAAGGTATGGGAGAAATTTCAGAGAGTAGTGGACATTCGTGCTCTTAATATCTCACATGAAATTCGTAAGTTTGTGTAGACAAATTATTGCAGCTAACATTCTGTCCTGTGTTTTTCCGAGTAGTGAAAAGTTGCAGATTTGAAGTAGCAAACTTGATTTTTTTTTTGAAGATGCACTCAATTTTGGTGTGGATAATCCACTGACAAAAAAAGAATCATATTGAGTTTTTTATATTGTGAGGTGAAAACAGTGCTATTTTTTTCAAATGTGTTTTACTTAGGAATTTCGTATTTGTAGAGTGTAGTAAGAATGTAAAAATAATTATTCGGATTCATTCATTGATGACTGCCCTTTTGTTTGTAAGATACTTGCCCTGTTTTTATTTAAAAAAAAATGTTGAAATGATGGTTGTGGTTAGTAATGGAGACCAGCTGGGCCCGTGCATCGTGAGGCATCCCTTGGTTTGATTCCTTCCCAGTTACAAGACCAAAATGTCTTGTGGAGAGTGTCATTGTCACTTGTTCAGTGTCCAGAACACAGGTTCCCGTCATTTCCACTGCTACAGAACCAAGATGGGTACAGCCAGTGTCTTTGCTGAAATGTGTCTGTGCCTCCATCAGGTGACATCTGGATTTAGCAAATGAGGAGCATAATTTCCATGAAGAGGTGATCAGTAAAGAGGCTGGAGAACAGATCATAGAGTTCCTAAAAACATCATAGGGAGGTGGAAAGGCTTTAATGCAAGGAAATGTTCATTGGGCTGTAGCCTGTGGATTTCTGTTCCAGTTATAACATTGTTGTTGAAAAATGAGGCTTGATTAAGTTACTTTGGTTCAGTATGAAAGGTTCAGTAGTGGTTTTGAGGCTTGTCTTGTCTTTGAGCAGTCTATGAGATCTGAAGCTATGACACAAAAAGCTATGACAAAAGCTAAACACATTTTTACTACATCAAATATTCTTAAAACGTCAGTTTGAAAGAATTTACTGATGATATTCAGATGAGCAGCCCTATTGATTTGTCTCAATTGTTTCCTCCATAGATTTTTGTTTTTGTTGCTGGGACCAGCAGGCAAAGCACCACAGTACCATGAAATTGGAAGATCAATAGCTACGCTTATGACAGATGATGTGAGTGGTGTATTTAAAACACATGTTGTTAAAGACTAGTAAAAATAATGTATTTACTGACTGCTTTTAAATATATCCAGGGATGACATGTTAGAGAAAAGGAACCAAACTGGTTAAATGAAGAACRGTAAAACTTTACATTTTTTATTCCCCACAATTCAGTGAATTGGCTAATAGTAAAATATTTTTTTTCTCCTTGCTTTTCYTGTAGAAATCCTAAATATATTCCAGAAAAGATATTCTAGCTATAGTTTATGGATTTGAATTGAGACTTTTTTAAACAATTTCTCATCCTACGGAGCAAAATATGATGTTCCACTTTTGACTTCGTATTGAGCGCCACCTATTGAAAGGGAATGCAGTGAACGAGCAGAAATCTTTTATACAGCGGCCGTTTTAACTTGCGAGATTTAAACCAGAAGTTGGTCATTCTGTAATTGCATAGTTAGCACATGATCAAATATTGGTTCTGAATGAGAACTGAATCTTAACTTGCAGCTTCTCATTTTCTAGGTGGACTAATTATTAGCAGTGACATAGATGATTGAAATAGAAAATATAAATTACTTGGTGATTTTAAAAACTTAGGTAGGCTTAAAAGTTCTGATGTACAGCTATTAGATGTAACAGTCAGGTCCTTTAGAGACAATAGTTTAGGCTCCTGTATCTACAAAGGCAAATTTTCAGGAAAATTTTCTGCAACAGGTTTTGTACCAAATAATGCCAGTACCAAAACTAACGGTGTTGTTCTACATCTTCTGAATTCAGGGATTATTTTRTTTATTTTTTTCCTGTTTATTTTTAAACCATGAATTCCAAGTCTATGTCAATTTTTTTTTTTGGAAGTAGTAGAGTCTACTCTAGGATAGTCTTCTGTTTGTTTTATTATTTTGAAACAAGATTGCTTTCATGTGCTTCTTTCCTATAATGAATTTTATACTAGAAGATGTGCAAGAAGAGAAAAATTTTGATGAATTTTAGAAAAAATGAAAAATTCTTTTGAGGTTAAAGCATAGAAATTTTATGATCTATTAGGGTGTGTATACAGTTCTTAATGCAAAAGTACACAGTAAAAGCCTAACCATTGAGGGCCTTTAAATTTTTTTTTCTTATCTCATTACTTTTTAAAACGTATTAAGTGTCTCTTGYAATCTATTCCTCTTTTAAAAATAARTAACTGAATGGTGGGTACTTTCTCCTCATAGGTTTTCCATGATGTTGCTTACAAAGCTAAAGACCGAAACGATTTATTATCAGGAATTGATGAGTTTTTAGACCAAGTGACAGTCTTGCCACCAGGAGAATGGGATCCATCTATACGAATTGAGCCGCCAAAGAGTGTTCCTTCCCAGGTAAAATAAATAAATAAAGGAGGAGGAGTGGAAATCTTATAACTATGTCTAGTGATTTTTTTTATTTTGAAAACATTATTTCCAAATGCAATTTAAAATAYACAAAATTGCATATTGGGTATGAACTTTAGGAAAGTATCTGAGAAGCCAAAGCATCCTTTGAAAGATGAGTCATGTAATTTTGGATTAATATATTGGTGGTTTTTTTACTTCTATAATACCAAAGTGAGTTTGTCTGTGGTCTTAGAGAGTTGGTCGGAAATGGTAGCTGGGTCCATGGTAGGAATAATTAATCTAACAGAGCTCTGAGGGCCTTGTACTTCTTAGAAAACCTGCATTTGCACATGGCGTTGGCTGAAATTGGTTTTGATGCTGTGTGTTGGTTAGCAGGAAGTTTATGAAATACCTAAAAATGCATCATGTTCCTCACTTGTGCTACAAGGCTTCGAAAAGCCCTGGGGAGGCTGGACCTTGGAGGGGTACAGGCTTCCCTGCACTCGTTCCCCTTAGAGCTAAGGGAATTCCTGCCGCAAGGATTGAGCTTGACAGAGTGAAGTAATCCTGATTCCAAGGATGATGTTGGTGTTGAATTATGTGACGATTTGGGAAAATGGATGGAATATAAAGGGGCTGACAGTTTAGTGTCATTGTGGTGCAGTTGAGTTCATAAATAGCACGAAGCTGCCGCTTTAATTTGTTTCCAAAATAAGCACAGCTAAAGCTTTTCAGGAATGTAAGCTTGGCTGAGAATTTTATGAGGCACTCGAGAGCTTGCTGAAAGAATGACTTCTCATTTATGCATCAAATACATACTGGTTCTGTTGTGAAGAGAGGTGCGTGTTTGTTACAAATGGGAGGCTTCCATTCTGTGGCGGGTGGGGGGAAATTCTTGGCTTTCTCAGCCTCACGGCTGTGGTGTGGTCTTGCAAAGGCAGGCTTTGTTTGAGCATGTCTCAGGGGAGGTATTTCCTGTGGCAGTAAGGACATGAATAGCATTGGGCTAGGCACTTCAGAAAGATCTTTATGGAAAGGTTGTGCAGTTCAAGTCTTGTGTATTCAACAAAAGATGAATTTGGCAATTGGAAGACTGTTGGCAAGCTAGAAATATGAAAGACTTTAGAGACTTGGAGTGTCTACATGCATGCTTTAAATTAGAGGGTTTTTTTTTTGTTGTTGTTTAGTTTAACAGTAATCCTGATGTATGTTTTTTTCCTCTCTCTTTCTTTCTCTCCTCTCTCTTCCTCCTGTAGGAGAAAAGGAAGATCCCTAAGTTTCCAAATGGATCTACTCCTACAGGAGAGACTCTCAAAGAAGAAGGCCATCATGCTGGACCTGAGCTTGAGAGAACTGGAAGGTGTGTTCACTTCCCAAATACTAGTTACCACAGAGAAATAAAAATGATGAATCTTCACAATTTTAATAATGACATTTTAGCATAAAAAGTCATGGTATAAGTGTCAGGGCGCATCCTCCCTCCTTTTCAAGTGTTGGATTTTTGCCTGTAACTACCAGTCTGCTTAAAGCATTTTCGAATCTGTGGCAATATCTCTCCACACATTTGTGAAGGATTTCATATATGATGCTGCCTTATTTAACTGACTCGTTTTAAATAATAGTTTTTATTTTGTAATTTTACTTATTGAGTATGCAATTGTATACCGGAAATATACCATTTTCAGTACTGGGCTAGGTACTGAAGATTTCCATTAATGCAAATCCATTTTATTAAACAGGTATGAAATGGAACAACAAGGAATATTAAATGGGGGGGAAAAAAAAAAGCATGTTTTGGTCAGATTTCTTTTAGACCTAAAATAAAAATAGGAAGAAATTTATTTCAGTTGCAATTCGACTGTCAGTTCTGAAACGTTTGTCAAGAGTTCCAGAACATWATAAATACATTTGGATAAGACTAAAATTCTGGAAAAGATGTACAGAGTTGTTATACCCAGAATGATCAACTTCCAAATGGAATGCATCTTTCACATTTATTTGCAAGAAGGATAAAAGATTTTTACTATTTTTTTAAATTTTGAAATTATGCTAATTTCTCAGTTTATTTCATACAGTATGTAGACCTAAGCTCACTTTTATCTAGAGGATTATCTCTAAATAACTCTAAATTGTTTTGTAGGAATGGAATAATTTCACTTTTTTAATTAATTCTTTATAATTCCCAACAAAGAAAGTCTTACCTAGTATCTTACCTTACAAGCATAAGCCTTGAAAAATTTTAGAAGCTACCAAAAATCTTTTAACTTCTTGCTAATGACTTACCCAGTTAAGCTGATTTACATTTTTTTTTTCAGATTTCCCTTTTGTAAAATAACTCAATGCTCCCAAATTTTCCAGGGTTAAAGATGGTAGATGTGTACTTTTTTTTTAATGGACCTAACCATATGTTTGCAGAGAATCTGGATTAAAACCAAAGCTAAAGTTACCTAGTAGAGTTTTGAAATCAGAAAGTATTTAAGCGGTCGTATTGGCTGAGCCTTAGTACATTCCTTGCCTGTGTATTCCTTGTTCTGAAAATCATTAGGCAGATTTGTCTTATTTGTATATTTGCTGGTATTATTTGCAGAGATGTTTTTTTCATTATCTAGCCCAATATATGCAAAAATACCTAGCCAGCTATTAAAAAAATACGGATAATGACCTGTTTGACTGTATTTTTGAAAATTACTCAATTGGAATTGATGAAATTAATTTACATTTTAAACTGTGTTATGCTTTAATTTGGAGTATGAAATAGTTAATTTGTGCTGGCAATYGGCACAGGCATTTTTGTGTAGCCCATAGTTTTGAACTAGCTAGAATCCTTTAGTGTACAGTTTGACGAGTTTCATCTCACCTATTTAGGCTTTTTGGTGGTTTGATACTTGACATCAAAAGGAAAGCACCTTTTTTCTTGAGTGACTTCAAGGATGCATTAAGCCTGCAGTGCCTGGCCTCGATTCTTTTCCTATACTGTGCCTGTATGTCTCCTGTAATCACTTTTGGAGGGCTCCTGGGAGAAGCTACACAAGGCAGAATAGTGAGTACAAAGAATGGTAGTGGCCAGGCTTTTAGACCTTCAGAGGCAAGTCACTGTGTGCATTTGTCTCATTTATTTACCCTTGTATTTGAAGAATTTACCCACAGCACTTGATTAGCCTGCCCAAAAGCAGATCTTCCCCCAAAAGGTAATTGCTGTGGAAAATGTGGGGAACCCATGTGAACAGGAGAAGATGCACAGTGGAGGTAAAAAAATGTTTATCCTGCCTTACTGGATGAATAGCTTCATGAATTGAGGAAGGGCTTGCATTGCCTTCTTTTTGGCTTCTTAACTAAAAATAATGCATAGCAGTAAAGGTGCACCATCCCACCAGGCCAACTTTAGGCAAAGTTAGAGGCCCAAGGTGGATGGCCAAGAACATGCACTGGCCTTGAGTAGCAGGCCCATGAGGATGATAATGCCTATGTTGTATGGGTAGAGAAAGTACATTGTGTATTTAAGTAATGGACAAAATATATGCTGTTACCAATTTTGTTACCAATAAAAAGATGACTAAGGTTTAGGAACAGAAAATACTCTTCACTGTAAATGATGTGAATATAAATAACCTTATAAAATATAAATAAAAAAAAAAATGGACAAAATATATGCTGTTACCAATTTTGTTACCAATAAAAAGATGACTAAGGTTTAGGAACAGAAAATACTCTTCACTGTAAATGATGTGAATATAAATAACCTTATAAAATATAAATAAAAAAAATAAAAATAACCTTATATAACACCAAACGCCTTTTTAACCAAAATACTTGGTTGTGCTTTGTGCATTTTGGAGTAGTGAAAAAATCCTTATATATGCCATTTCAGTAGTTTGGCGCTTGGGTCAGCAGACTTGTGATTAAACTTATTTGAAGTGTATTTTCTGTTTTTTAGATCTATTACAAAAAAAAAAAATCTATTTTTTGGGAGGGGCAGGATATATTCAGAAACTCTACAAATTTTAAGATTGTGTTGAAGCTTATAATAGTGCTATAAAGTTCATGATACTTCTCAGWTTAGATTTTGAGCTTGTAATGCATTATAGTTCATAATTGTATCTCTTGCAAATAATATAGTTGAATATATATTTGCTGATGTAGCACTTCAAGCTGGTAGCAAATGCAAAAATGTGTCTCTTCTGTGCACTCTTTTTACCCCTCTCATTTTAGGAATAGATTTTCCTGTGGTTATCAAAATGTTTTTGAAACAAAATGGTTATCAAAATGCTGTAGTTATTGAATGTACTTATGTATAGCTATGAAAATATACTCCCGTTATGAAGCTCGCTTCTTAAATACCTTCTTTCTTTTAGCTATCTGGGATTGTTTGCGGGTTTGTTCCTGCCTTCAGATACTTGGTGTGCATCATATAAAATTTAGTTACTGCACACACATGTTCAAGCACAGTAGCTGACTTTGTAAGGTACACGGTTTGTGTTCAGACCTTTTCCTCATATTCCCAGAGGTCATCACTTCCACAGCACTCCCTGTCCCTGCCACCCTGATTGAGAGCCCCGAGGTTAATGCATTGACTAAAAAAACAATAAATAAACAAAAAACTACTTGAAAGGTAATAGCTGATCAAGAGACTGGGTTGCAATATTTTTGCTTCTAGTATAATGAATACTCTTTATTTTTAGCAACCCCAGCTCAGCAAAGCATTTTGCTCCATTTTAGAAGCTTTCCTGAGTTGGGATTTAATCTTACATAATTATTTTTTTTCCTCAGGCTTGCATAACTGCAAAATAGTAATTTTTTTCAGAAAACTCAGCCGGAACTCTATAACCAATAATTCATGACTTCTCACAATTTTAAGTGCTGTAGTTAACTACTGAAGTAGAATTACTATCATTTTAGGTTCTAGAAAGCTCTACCTCTCTGTTTTGAGGTGCATTGTATTTTTTTTTCTGTTTTAACAGAGAATATTCTAGTAAAACATGTCATTCAAGAACTGAAATAAGTATCTTTATTCAATGCAAAGAAATGCATTACCAGGTGGGACATTGGTTGGCTGTTCATCTATAATGGTGTCATGTATGCATAAACATACTGAACATACTGTTCAGTAACTTACATCCCTCCTCTACCATCCCCTTGCCCATCATTGTTTTTTTTTTTTTCTTTTGTAACGCTTGGTTGATGCAGGTTTGGTAATGCACACTGTATCATGGTTTGGTACAGGTATGTTGCAATATATATTTCCTTTTATTTACAGAGACAGATTTTTTTTTCCATKTCCTTAAACCACGTATTTAGTAGATTTTATGTTAAATAACTGTTGGCTATGTTTTTCCTCTATAGCTAGCACAACTAGTAACTTGTCAGGYTTTTGGATAGCTTTTCATTTCTCAAGAGTGAAGCTTTCCGATTCTTTTATCTGTGATATTGTTACTGTAAAAGTGTGTTAGATTATTCTTGTGTCTCAAAAATTGATATTGGTTTTAATGTTTTTAAGTCTTGCCTTGTTTCTAAGTGAATGCATCTTAAGGCTGTATTTGTGCAGATCTGGTGTTAAATGCTAATGTGAGAGACAGCGTAGTTACAGCGCTTTCTTTTCCCCCAAACAGAGTGCAATAGAGTCTCTCTTTGGAGCCTCGTTAACTGGGATTGCCTATTCTCTCTTTGCTGGGCAACCTCTTACTATTTTGGGGAGCACCGGACCAGTTCTAGTATTTGAAAAAATATTATTTAAATTTTGCAGGTAAGTGATGTTTGCATTAGCTTGATGCACTTCCTAAATTCCCAGCTTGTTTGAATACTTTTAAAGCAGATATCTGCTGAAAGAGAAAGTCTRTGAAAATAAAGGGACTGGCAAGACATTACTGTATACCCCTGCCTTGGCYGTAGCTTGAGAAATGGGTGGTCCTTAATAAGAAAGTCAGTGGTTAAGAAGTGGTCAGCATCTGTCTCAAAATACTGTTCAGACTGAGGGTGGGTGTCTGCTTTTATTCTATGGGGTTTTTGGTTTCTGTCCAGGAAAGCTCACCTAGGTAGTCCTGGAAAGAACATCACTGTAGTGGCTCCCAAGCCAGGCAGCTGCCCCCTGCATTCTGGAAATGCCTTGCATGGTTGTCCGCTGGCTCTCATGGAAGGTGAGATGGAAAAGATTCAGCCTTCCTCAGAACTGCCCTYCAGGATGAAAGAAGTGATGGGTTACAGGTCTTGGCCTCAGTATCTCCTTTCAGGTAGGAGATAACATAGATGATTTTAGGCTCAGTTAAATGTTTGTTTCTCTTTTTACACAGAGACTATAAGCTTTCCTACCTCTCCCTACGAACTAGCATTGGTCTGTGGACAGCATTTTTATGCATAGTACTTGTAGCAACAGACGCCAGCAGCCTTGTGTGTTACATCACTCGCTTTACTGAGGAAGCTTTTGCAGCACTTATATGCATCATATTTATTTATGAGGCATTGGAAAAGCTTTTTCATTTGGGAGAGCTGTATGCCTTCAATATGCACAGTGATTTGGATAAACTGACTTTGTATTCGTAAGTATCAAGTTTCTATCCATTAGTAAAATACATAAGGAAAGTTGTGTATTATAGCATCGTACCATTTATCAAACTGCAGTGTGTGCTGCTTTTTAGGAGGGCAGGAGGGAGGCTGGGGGTGGCTGGGCATGAGAAACCTCAGAAAAAAAAATTATTGGGGATAAAAGGAAATTGAATTTTCTGTAATAGTTCTGGAGGGTTGGATGGGATCAGAGGCTGTGATAGCTGCCAGATCTGTSTAATTAAACCTTGATTAAAAGTGAAGCTGTTCTGCTAGCTGGACAGAAATCCTCTCTTGCCCTTTCCAGAAATCAGAAGCACTTCTCCCACCTGGATGAGGAGTACTCCCTGGTTGCTAGGCCATGGTCTGAGTTGAGARGGGATTGGGTAATGAGAGATCCTGCAACTTTCATAGGCTAGGAAGGGGAGTTAACATCTTTAAGCCACATTGTTTTCTACTGTAAATAAGGAGAAAATAGTTGACTTACTATTTTTCCCTTTCCTACCAAAAATAAAAGTACATACAGTAGCATTTGCTTCTCTGTCCTGCCTTAGCAGAACTAATGATTCTACTGATGAGTAATTAGCTGTAAAACTGTCAATGTTGAGAAAACTTTATTTTGTTCAAGGAATATAATACCCAAAATGTTTAGCTAACCTGTTGCAGGGAAAAACTGCCCAGTTCATATAGCTTAAAACATAGCAGAAACCAAGACACTGATTTCATTAACACATAGTGACTAGCAACCACAATGCTAGACACTTGCATAGTGTTACTAAGTACCTATTCATTTTAAAATACTTTTCTATAGCTAACCTCCCAAAGTTTTAATTGCAACACCTCCATACCTTGACATACCCTCCCTGTGGACATGTGGCTTACAGCACAAACCATCCTTGAGGAGCACGGGATCTTCTCCTCACTCCCCTCTCCTGCTGGAGATGGGGATGCTGCAGCTCCATGTGCACCCATGCTGCTCCCTGCAGTCGGTTGAGCCACAGGCTGGTGAGAGGAGCACCCAGGAGCTCCCATCCCCACACCTTGGGAGGGGATGGTGCTTGTTGCACCTGCACTCTCAGCACCTGGCTAGAGGATGAACATGCAGGGTGGGTGTCCTGTGTGTGGCTGCATTATTTGGGTGGCTTATGGCAGGGGCAAGCCAGATTTTGCCTACTGCTCTTCAGCTTCAAGGTGGCTTAGTATTATGGACTTCCGCACTTCTTTTATTTCTTCCAGAGTGATTCTTCTCTTTTTTTTTTTTTTTTTTTTTTTTCCCTCCAAAAGTTTGTGTCCTTCCACTTGGGGCAAATGCCTTGTCATGCTGCTTTCTCTACACAGGTGGTGTTTTTTTCATTCACTTTCCTGTCCTAACAGTTGTTAAGATATGAAATGTCCGGGCCACTTCGCCAATGGGAGTAGGCCATGGCAGTGCACTCGCACTAACTCTTCCTAATTTTCCCCATTCTTCTTGACTGATCATCTTTCCATTTTGTTGACTGTGACAGTTATTGGACTCCTCTGTGACTGAGCTAAAACCATCTGGCAAAAACTATCCAGTGCATGTGTAGGTCCTTTCCCATCTCCTGCCTCCCAGTTGTTCTGCCATGCTAGCGTGGGCAGACCCACGTGGGTAGGGTAGGGAGGCTGCGGTAACTTCTGCATCTCCTTGGTTCAGCTTTTTCAGAAGTCACGTGTGTTTTTCTAGATGTGCCATGTTCTGGTTTTGTGTCTCTCTTCTCCTTCCCTCCGCCCATCAGGAAGGTGTGGAAGATCTGGCCTTATAACCTATCCGTGTCACCCACCAGATTTTGAAAAAGGATAATTCACATCTCTCTATTCTACTCTTATTTTAATGTTAAATGAGTGTGACTAAAGTGAATTTTGACCCATTCTGGGATGGCATGCTGTTGTAATGTTAAAATTTTAATTTGTATACAGTCATAGATACTTGTGGTTTTATTCAATGATGTAAAAATCTTTACAAGTAATACAGGATATTTTACTTTTTTTAAAAAAATATATAAAATTTARGTTTGTGATGTTAAAGATGTTTACYTGTACTACAGGAGCAGTATCTTGCTGAATGTGTGAAAATCACTAGTTTAAAAATGTTTAATTTAATATTTTCTGATGGATCAGTGCATTCTTTTATATGCCTAAAAGCCTATTTCTTCAAGAATTGTCAATTTCTTGTGAAGTTCTGAATTTACTTTTTTTTTCCAGGTGCGTATGTTCTAAGCCTCAGAATCCTAGCAATGAAACTTTACAGATTTGGGGAAAGAAGAATAAGTCTGTGGAAACTATTGCGTGGAGTAACCTTACAGTGTCTGTAAGTATCTGAAAGCTACAAAAATACATATTAAAAAAATCAAAAACACGCACAATGCCAGTCCTTCTTGATTATTTAAGCTCTTTTTCAAATTGAACACCAACTGGTTTCTTTGAAACTCCATTTCGAACCCTTCTGTTTCTTCCGCAATGCTTTAAGCTGGCAGAATTGGAATCATCTTTTTGATGAGTGTGCCCTTGTCAGTAAACACTGATGATATTAATAGCAGTTTGAGATAATGACTTTAAAATACTGGCAGCTAAAACATTTGGCTTTGTGAAGTGCGAATGAATATACTGAGCTGAGAAAACAGGGGATTGCTTCCTTCAATTTACTGAAGAGGAAGAGTGAAATATGTTTAAGAAGGTGCAGAGATGAAATCTGAACTTAATAGTGTGGGAGCAGACATGTTTCATGTTACATATTAGTATAAAATGGCAAGAAAATGAGAGAATTCAATTTTTCAATTCTTCCTTCAACCCATCATTCTAATGGATTAATCTTATCTTGTAAGATAAGTTAAKATACAGATTGTTGATCTGTATCAAGACRAAGCAAACCCAAGAATAAAGAGATGTAAGAAATGAGGCAGAGCTCACTTTGTATCTTGACCAACTTACAACTGGATTTTGGATGATCTGATTTTCCTGGGCTTTGTTCTTGACCTTTATTTACAAGGTTTAGTGTTGTTATGTTTTGAAAAAATAGGATAGAAATGAGGTGAGTATAAATAAGATATTCTCTGGGCCACCACTTAACATTTTGGCATCTAGAAATATATATCAGTGCTGGCTTTTGTGACTCTTGGAACAGAGAGCATGTGAATCTTTATCACATTTTAACTTTTTATAAAATAGTTTGTGTGCTTTACACTGAAAGGTTACAAATTAGGTTGAATGAATGTGTTTCAAAGACTAGAAATTGAACAAAGCTTTTCTCCTTGCAGGAATGTTTAGAATTTCATGGTGTCTTTCGTGGATCAGCTTGTGGTCATCATGGACCATATATTCCAGATGTTCTCTTCTGGTCTGTCATATTATTCTTTACAACATTTTTCCTCTCCTCTTTTCTTAAGCAGTTCAAGACCAAACGCTATTTCCCAACTAAGGTAATTCTGACAAGAAATGATTTTCTGTTGAGACAAATATTTGTGTACACTAGTGTAATTTAATGGAGTGGATTTTTTTTCTAACTGTCCCTTAAAATTGTGTATTGTGAGTGTGATTTTGACCACATTTCTTTTAAGATGTGAGACAAAAAAAAAAAAGTGATTGTGGAAAAATAAGGCATTACAGTAATGAAATTGTCTGCTGAAAATTCAGTGCCTGCCTTTTTTTCCTGTAGTTATAATAAAATGCTCCAAATACTGAGACATCTCTCATTCTGTATGAAGTATTGCCMAATATTGTCCGGACTTACTCTATTCCCTGAGTGCTTTCACATACTAGCACAGAACACTGAGTGCTCTCCCCAGGCTGCTGCCTGGAGCGTTCTGCGCAGTTCCTCAAGGAATTGCTTTTCCTTACAGGTGCCCATACAGTGACTATCCTCAGATTGATTTGCACTACATATTTCTTCTAGGCAAAAATCAAGTGGAGTATCATCCTTGGGCCTCAAGCTATAAGTATCATCCTTGGACCTCAAGCTAAACCTATAACATGTTCTTAATATTTCTTTATGTCACCTTCCATAACCTGAATGTCCCTCACATCAGTTAAACATGAAATGAATGAGTGTTGATTTTGGAACAYGTCAACAGCAACACTGTACTGAGCTAGAAGAAACCAACTGTGATGGTGCAGCCTCCCATCAGAGTTGAGACTGAATAGGTGAAGATAAAGAAGTTATTTGAAGTAATTTGCTTTTTGTGGCAGATCAGTTTGAATGAGATTATTGGTTAGGTGAACAGTACTTCGAAATCAAGGGTTAACARCTGTAAGCTCTGCTGGCAGATAGTTTACATTTTGAAACATAAAGTGAGTAAAACATGTTCAGGGGTCTACTGTATACTGTAAATAGACTTTAAACACTATTTATAGTGGAGAAAATTCTTGTTACCCATATGTCAGTTGCAATTGGTGAAAAGCAAATGTTAATAAAGGTCTTTTCCTTATAGGTGCGCTCGACCATCAGTGACTTTGCAGTATTTCTGACAATAGTAATCATGGTTTTGATTGACTATCTTGTAGGAGTACCTTCTCCTAAGCTTCATGTTCCAGAGAAATTCGAAGTAAGAAAGAAAGCCTTTAAAAAATATATATATTTTTTAAAATGCTTGCAATTTATAGACAATGAAATAGTGGAGTAGCATAGAAACAAAAATATGTGTTTTTGATTTATAATGTAAATATCAAAGTAATTTCCTTTTTTATTTTGAGTGCACATCCCATGTGACAGAAGAGTATCCTTTATATTCTAATATGATTGAAAAGAATCTTTTCTTTTGTGGAGATGTAAAAAATCAAGGAATGGCATGGACTATTTTAATTTTTTCCATGTAAACATCACATTCAGATCAAGCAGCTCATCAGTCTTTTGAACAAAGCCATTTAAAAAAAAAAGTAAACATAATTAAGAGATTCTTAGAGGAAAAGTTTTGGTAATCTGAACTAGATTGATTTGTTCATTGCAGTTAATCTTTGTAGCGATAAAATATCTCCTTTAGTGAATTTTTTTTTTTTTTAAATGCCTGTTTTTCAGCCAACTCGGAAAGACCGAGGATGGTTCATAGATCCTCTTGGAGACAATCCTTGGTGGACACTCTTGATAGCTGCTATTCCTGCTTTGCTTTGTACCATTCTCATTTTCATGGATCAGCAAATTACAGCTGTTATTATAAACAGAAAAGAGCATAAACTGAAGGTAAAATCTGTGCATTTTATGAAAACTCTGAACGAAGTTTGATCGTATAAGTCATTTTTATTTTAAGTTAGATTCATTCTGTAAGTCTGTGAAACATTATCGGTGACCACTAAATAAATTCTTTTATTTACTAATAGAGAACAAGTATCACTTTGTGCACACTCTCAAAATCTCCAGCTTTTGTAGGCATGTTGAATATGTATCACTGTGTTTAAGCTCATAAAGGGAGTCATTTCTTTGCTTGATTTTACAGAAAGGCTGTGGTTATCATCTTGATCTGCTCATGGTTGGTGTTATGTTGGGTATATGTTCTGTCATGGGCTTACCATGGTTTGTCGCTGCAACTGTCCTGTCCATAAGTCATGTTAACAGCCTGAAAGTAGAGTCGGAATGTTCTGCCCCAGGAGAACAGCCGAAGTTTTTGGGAATCCGTGAGCAGCGAGTGACAGGATTGATGATTTTTGTTCTGATGGGACTGTCAGTGTTCATGACCTCTGTGTTAAAGGTAAAAGATATTATTTATTTATTTATTTATTTATTTATTTTTTACAAAAATATTTCTGCTAGTTTTGTGTTTCTTATTTTGATGTCATGTGTGATTATTTTGGAATGTTAGCAAGCTTTAGTAAGCTAAATCTGTGGACTCATTCGCAAATTGACCTTTTAATCAACAAATATTAATGGAATTGAAATGATAGGAGGAGATATAAGTAAAATTAAATCTGAGTAAGGTAGGTATGTAGAGAAGAAAGCYGTGTTTATCTGTGTTACTTGATTTTTCTTGTTAGAGATTTTTTTTAGTTTCTGAATGTGTTTTACTCATACAGTCCTAGTAGTTTTACTGTGAGTGCAGAAAGTGAGAGAATAGGAATGTGGTAAAGCTATGAAGTTTTTAAAGTAAAAACAATATGAAACAGCAGAAGAAGCAAAAACATCCAAGGAAAATGAGCATCAAAAATGACATTGTTCATTTTGTTTATTAGCTCAGTAAACTCGCTGTGAGATTTAATGTTCAGGTTGAGAATTTYAGTGGAATAAAATCCACCAGCTTAGTTGGCTTTTTGCTTACATTTGAGTAAAATCRAAGTTCTGCTTTGCTATGTAAACTCTGTCTGATTAAAATGAGAAGTAGAGATATACAAACATACACAAAAGTTATGCCTTAGAGATTCGTTATTCCAGGATTCCAGTTTTGAGGAAGAACCTTAATTCGGTGTCTATTTTAACAACTTTTTTCTTAAGTTTTCCTATTATATCTTCTYCTTTCTTCATTTAGAACTTTTTTGAATTCATGAGCAAAGCCAACTCATGCAAGTGCCAGCCAGCACTTGCAAGGGCTTCATAAAATTGTCTCTGAAATCAATAAACAAATTAATTGATCTTCTTACTGGAGCAAATCTTAACCTTGAAAACTAAGTAGATGTGATTTCTTTTTGTTTCATTTGTTCTGCAAATACCATATATGCGGATCAACAGTAATCTTAATGTGGCATTTCATGAAGCTGATGGTCTCAATCCAGTGTGTAGGTGACAGCCACATAAGCTAAYATATTTAACAATTAATAGAAATCTTTTTTTGCAGTCTAGAAAGTGTAGTGGATGGGCAGCCAAGACTGAACTACAATCTCATCAGGATGTTAGCCTTGAACAGGCCACAGGGAAGGATGTAGGTCCTACACCAGCTCCATGCTTTTTTTTGCTGTTCTGTGCTGCATATATTGCCCAGATAAATGACCTCAGCTTTTACAGATTTCAGTTAAAATAAATATCCAGGAAAAAAAAAATGTTTTTATCTATTTTACTAACGTGAATTACCATATTCTGTGTTATATTGATTCTAGAAGTAATTGTGTGGGTTTTTTTTTTTTCTCCCCAGTTTATTCCGATGCCTGTTTTGTATGGTGTCTTTCTTTACATGGGAGTATCTTCATTGAAAGGCATTCAGGTAAAATCTGTTTTTCATGAACAGTTTGCTTTTACTTAATACTAGATGAAAAGAAGAAGTTTTCATGCATTCTTTTACATGAGCATGAAATGTGACCTGTACTGTCAGAGTGTGATGTAGAACAATTTCTGAAGTGGCACGTTCATGTGTTTGTTCTTACCTCACTRCGCTTTTGGTTCTCAGTTCTTTTGTGCTTATTCTTTCAGTAGTTTAGCTGAGCAGCAAATTTCTGAAGTATGCTCAGATGTTGAAGAGACACTGTTAAAATGTCTGACACTCAACGCTGCCTCCTCCCACCTCCCGCATACAGTCTCCATGCCCTTCATTGCTCCATGTCCCCTAAAAGTTGGAACTAATAACTGCTGCTCGTGTCAGAGATCACTAACTGAAGTATGATTTGTTTTTTCAATGCAGTTCTTCGACCGTATAAAGCTGTTTGGAATGCCTGCCAAACATCAACCTGACCTGATATATCTACGCTACGTGCCACTCTGGAAGGTCCACATCTTTACAGTCATTCAGCTCACTTGTCTAGTTTTGTTGTGGGTGATCAAAGCCTCTGCAGCTGCTGTTGTTTTCCCTATGATGGTAAGCTTTTTGTTCTACAAGCTGTGCAGTTTCGAAGAACATGTGTATCAGCTGAGATCTCTTCAGAATATATTTACTGCCTTAAAGGGAGTGGGAAAGAAAGGGGAATTTATGCTGTAAGCTTTTCATGCTTGAAACACAGAGGCTTTTTGTTTCCTGAAAGTAAGCGATTTGGTTGTGAATAGCTACAGGAAGTGGAGATGATTTAACCGCATTGTAAGATGAAACTAGTACTACAAAAAGGATTCTCAGTTAAARATACTGAATAAGCTGAAAGTATGTGTGCCTGTTTATTCATTTAAATAGTTTAACGTAAGTTCCATTTATGGTTCCCTTAAGGTTCTAGCATTAGTGTTCATTCGCAAGCTCATGGATTTATGCTTCACCAAGAGAGAGCTTAGCTGGCTTGATGATCTCATGCCAGAAAGTAAAAAGAAGAAAGAAGATGACAAAAAGAAAAAGGAAAAAGCAGTAAGTGTAAATAAATAAACATGTTGTATTTGTAACCCTGCTTGGACTAATATCATATTACCCTGTCAGGGACATTCAGTTGTATTTGTATGCAGAGCAGTACTTAAATCCAATTGCTAGTTGACCCTTAATAGAGCTTGTATAACTTCTATGGAAAAGTTGATTTCTGCTGCATAATTAATTTTATAATCTTTGTACTTGGGATTTATAGGAAGCAGAGAGAATGCTTCAGACAGGGGATAGTGAAAGTGTACATCTTCGGTATGAAGAAGCAAATGTCTTGGATTTTCCTGTAAAAACCCTAAAATACAGGTATGTTTGTATGTTTGTATTTTAGGTGGAGTTTTTGTATGATATGCCATAATTTCCTTTGTTAGATTGGTCATGTATGAGTTGAATGAATTTTCATCCAAGCTTGTAGTAGAGCTATGATTAGAAGAATTTGAAGATATCTCTCATTTTACTATCCTAGCATTTATATGTGCTGGTGTTCTTTGAAAYTGCATTTTAATTATAAATTTACATGACCATCTCGAACAGATCAGATGACTCAATTTCGACCAGCTGTACTACTCAAGGTGAAGAAACTTCTTTGGTCAGTTTTCATGGAGTATTTGTGTGTTACTGTGCATGAAGTGCTGGTTTTTCAACAGTGGTTGATGAATAGCATCAGTTGAGCCATGTTTTTACCAGCCTGTTGGATTTATAAGATCTCCTCAGAGTGCAATTCTTTAGCTGCCTTGACTTGGATAAACCAAAGTCCATAGTTTTGTGATCTAAAAMAATTTTGTTATCAGGCAGCCTTTTCATTTAAATTTGTTACTGAAAGTGAAAGCAAGGGCAGGATAATCAGTCCKCTTAGAGAGGAACTGTTCCACCCTGTCTGTTTTTTCTGCTTTGCTGAACCAGTTCAGGAGCGACTAAGGAAGTACTGGAATTATCCTGACAGAATGTTACTCCAAGACTGAGTGGTATTTGGTCTCTGTATTTATTTYGCTACTCGGGAAATATTGAGCTTAGTTTTCAAGTGTTCTGCTTCTGTTGAATGTGCCCCAGGAGATATGACAGCTAAGAAACTTGTCACCTTTTGTGCCCCTAATAGAAAGTGTTTGTAAGCTAAAAAATGACTTTACTATGGATCTAGAGGACTGTTAGATGTACTTKGATGTGAGCTGGGAATAAGCAGAGTGCAGGGTTAGATATTTTCTGTCTAAGTTCTGTCCTGTAAGAGCAAGTTCAGCTCTGCTGTAGCAACTCAAGTGAAAATGATGCAAAAGATTATTTTTAAACTTAAGAGTTGCTAATAGTAGAACTATGATTTCATCACCATGTGTTTACGTGTGTGTATTTACCACATATTATGCTGTCTTGATTTCTTAGAAAGATGTCTTTGAAACATTTCTGAGTTGGTTTATAATGCAAATAGTTCTCTAAATTGCAAGGCAGTGGAGAGCTGGGCCACATAGTGTCTGATAGTTCTTTTAAAGTGGCTGTGCAGTGGAGAGGGGATTAAGTTTTTAAGTGTGGAGCGGAACAGAAAGCCTGCTCATAGCCACCACGTGTAGGCTGATCTGCACATTGGAGGTATGGAGCGCAAAGTGGATAATAGTAGGTTCTGAAAGATTGCCATCTGTGAGCATAAACTTATTTCTGTGGGGCTCTGCAAGGGGGAGGGACTCAAAATTTGTCTAGCAATGCTATGCAGGAAAAAAGAACATGACTGGAAATCGGAATTTCCAGATTTTTTCTTCTACTACTTCTAAATTTTTGATACTGGTATCTTAAAATTAATTAGCATCTGTTGTTTTCCTCTTCATGGTTTTCCGGAAGCAGCTTAAAATAATTCTGATTTATGAGAACCTTAGCAGAGTAATATGATTCACTTAGTAATTTCTGAACATTCAAAATAAGGTTAAGTTATGGGATAGTCTGAAAATAAAATATTCAAATCTCATTCATTCACTGTATCTTAGTGATATCTACATGAAAAACTGAAAGTTGTTTTAAGATTCTGCATGATGAGGGCAGTGCTGATGAACTACATATTCAAATTTTTGTTTGAATATTTTTGTAAGAGGTGAATTCAACTTGTGGCTGCGTAAATGTCAAAAGAAGGCACAACTGATGTAAACATTGAGTGACAAAATGTGTAATGCCGTTGCAAGGTACGGAGCACTAACCAAAAAGTATGCTTGTCCTCTAGCGTTGATCCTTCAGTTGTAAACATATCAGACGAAATGGCCAAAACTGCACAATGGAAGGCTCTTGCCATGAGTACTGAGAATGCCAAAGTAACCAGAGCTAACCTGAGGTAGCTATAATTACTCACACATTTTTCTAACTACAGTTTTGTATGTAGCAAATGATCATTGTGCTCATTTTTCTTGAAGTGTGTCTCAAAATTAGTGTCTATGGTTGAAAGACTTGTATTGATTTACTCTCAAGGACTTTTCATCTGAGGTTTGTTTTTCTCTTTATCATGAAATTTTAAACAATATCTGCAGGGAATTCTTATGAAATATATTATTACATTGTTAAAGTTACTATTTRTTTGCTTAATACAATTGCATGGTGCTCTGATAGGCATAAGAGTTTCTAAAAGCTTTACTGGAATAGATGTAAGCATGGAAACTCTTTGATGCTGAACATTAGAAATGCCMCTGGGAGTAAAAGGTAAGTTTTGTTGACGTTTTATGTATCCCTAAGGATGTGCCCCTTGGTTTGTGTGTATGTGTGGGGTTTTTTGTTGTTGTTTTTGTTCTTTCCCCAACCCACAGCTTATTTTTAAACCCTTAAAAAAATAAACCGGGTCTAAATATCTTCCCTGGAAGTGAAAATATTTGCATGAAATATTGGACAAGTTAGGATCTGTTGCAGCTATGAGATTTTCCTGCATCTAGCCAGCCTCTTTCTCAGAAAAATTTCATTCAGTGTGTCATCTTGGTATTCTGCCTTAGCTTCTTCCCTGTCCGGCTGATTCTGCCAAGGGAAGCCAAACCAATCCTGAGCATACAAATACATAAGGTCCCCTGCCTCAAGATACGTATCTTGCAGGGGCTGTGGTCTGTTGCAGTAGGCCAGCAGATGGGGGCTTGATAGTGTTTGCATGGGCAAAGAGGAGAATTGACTTGATTGTCCAAGAAAACGAGACTAAGTCTCCTCTCTGTACCCACATCATCATCTTTTTGGTTGGTACCTTCCAGTTAACCTGTCAGAGGAGGACATTTTCAAGGAGAATAAGTTGTCCAATTTTATGTAAATTTCAGTCTCAGGGGAAGAGAAGTGGGAGGGGACTTGATGGAAGCAGTGGTGGTGACCGGCTACTCAGCCCTTCCATACTGCCTGTTTATTCAGCATGTGCTGAACTCCAGACTAGTCATCTTTCACTTCCATGTTCCTTGAGCCTTGAGTTGATCAAGTTACTGTAGAATTATATGCAGCACAAACATGTTAGACTTCTGATGAGTTTGTTGTATTTTTGTGATCCTTTGGTGAAAAAGGTGTCACCAGCACTGCATAAGAAGTATTTTCTGGTAGTTTTCTTCATTTTGGATATCTTTGTGGGTTTGTTAAACGGGAGAAAAGAAAATCTTCTTTTGTTAATGTGAACATACATGTGGTGCTGCAGGAAGATTCCATAGTCCCTGCTATTCTCATACTCATGCATTTCAAATAAGATGTTTGAAGCAACCAATGTTTTATGGAGCTCCAGACACCATGTTACATGAGCTGGCATTATTCCTTAACAGTCTTAACTACTTTAATATTTTGTTGTTTTTCCCCATCTTATCTAGACAACTTTTTATTTCTCACTGTTCTGCTTTTCACATTTGTAAGTATGCCTGGACACTGTGACAGTTTTAACACAGCTTTTACAGAGTGCCAGGCTATTTTTCTTTACATGGATTTCTAACACTTTTTTTCCCCTTAAAGAACAGCTCCACAGACATGTCCTCTAAAATGCCTGCAAAGCCATCCTACCTCTTACAGCCTAACAATTTCTCTTCTACTTTTCGGTCRGCACCTTGGGACATTTCTGTCTCTGCTTGCATAAGTCACTGTTGAATATCAGTGTCCCTAAGCAAGACAGTTTTTTTGAGGTTCCAGCCATCTCTTTGTCTTTAGGGCCTTCTCATTGAATGGAAGCTTATCCAGATTTCCAGCTGTCGTCTCCTGTTGCTGCAAAAGTGGTTCCTCATTTGTATAAGACCAAAATGCTTTCCCAGTCTTCTATTATGAACAAAAATTCTCCCTTCACAATAGTAAAGAAATACTGATAATATTGCTTGTTATATATTTGTATTTGCAAATTAGTATCCTTGCATAAATAGTTTGAATGTTGACTTATTAAGTATAAACTGTTTGAAAATAAGCCTTTAAAGTGAACCAAACCTTAAATATTCATCTTTGTTTTCAACAGCTCTGAGAAGCCAGAAAGTGTGAAAATAAACATGGAAGATGCACCTGTGGTGAAATACGTGGATGCTGAAACATCGTTATAGAACTGAAGCAAGGGGAATTTTGTGTATTTGTGTGCGTGTATATGTGTGTATATATATATTATCACTGTAGGATATCATACCTTTGAAGTGTGATTTCCAAGTTTAAGGAGTAACATATATTTAATTCTGCCATTGTTTAGGGCACTGTAGATATGCTTGCATACCAAGAAGATTTTCCTACAAATAAGATGAGTGGTAATCACACTTCAGATATTTATTTTATTGGAAATTTTATTTTCATTTTTAAATAGGAAGTTATTCTTTTCAATAATCATTATGTGCGTAAATCAGCTTTTGCTGATGATTGCTGGTCCATGTTGCTTTGAATTTTGCAATACCTCTGTGTTTATAATGTGTGTTACAGAAGTTTATTTTCCATGCAGACAGTTACTGCGTGTTTTTTGCAGGGTAAGCACGTTTTTTGTGATTTCGTAGAATGAATATTAATGTGCTGTTAACATGAACTACTGTGTTTTATGTCTCCACTACATGCTAATATTTTTTTGATTCTGTCACTCCTGGCCTAGAGCTCTTAAGTTGAGTGATTAATCCTTAGAATATGTACAAGTATCCTGATGTTCTGAAACTTTTTTTCTGTCTTAATCCACCCTTGATTTTAAATATCCTGCTCTGTTATCTATTTTTTTTTCTTAATCCACTATTGATTCCTCTCCCCTGCCCCGATTTATCACCCAATAGTAGTATGGTTGCAGTAACTGTAGTTAAAGCCCCAAGTCAGTATTTGCTGTTCTGCAAACTACATACTTAAAAAACATAAATTGATGAATTGGATTTAAAGACAGAAATTCAGCATATAGGAATTTACACATACTTACTACGCTAATAGTCTTGAATTCTTTCCTTCCTGTTTTTATTTATATTTTTCCACTGACTTTAAAAGTTTGATTTGGTCAACTGCAAGTCTGAAACTTCAGAGTATTTCATTTCCTCAAGATACCTTTCTTGCTTTATTCGTTTTTAAGCTTACTGTGTATTTCATTAAAATGAGCTGTAGTTGGTTATAATTCTGTAATAGGCTTATGACCAGTATTGTTTTATGAATTACAAATTGCTTTGTGGTATTTGTGTTTACAGTTCTGATCCTCTCCATTGTAAAGGGCATATATGATAGCACACAACCTATTTTTAAACATTCTATTTATTTTAATTAACATAAATTTTTATCATGTAAGACGAATGGAAAAAATAAATATTGATTTATTAAAATAAATGGGATTTTTGGGGGCTCACTTAAATTTTTTAATGAATATTCAGYCAGTATATTATTACACCTTCAAGTTCTCATGTTTAGCATTCTGRTATTTGAAAGGACTATACTTTTATGTATAAATCAAAATCTTAATCACTTACCTGTTGCAGTTTCAATTCCTGATATTATTTTGCCTTGCGTTGTATTTTTTTGGGCTTTAATTCCTGAAATGGTCTCTCTACATTCTGAGTTGCTATCAGTCCTTTCTGGCTTTAACTATGATCCATGCTTTCTTTAAAATGTAAGATACTCCTAGGTTGATTTTACTTTCAGCACTGTTAGGTTGATTTTACTGTCAGCAAAGTGGAATGGTTTACCGTGGTCAACACGGTAAAATTCTCAAGATGTTCTAAAGTAGCAGATTTTGGAGGAGGGCAGAATTCACTTGAAAATTCCTCCCAAGTTGGAATTTTGGTGCTTTTCAGATAGGTGTCATTTGGATAGGAGTTAATTATGTATTACAAAATAAATGAATGGGAATATATGAAAATATTAGAAATATTTGAAAACACTAGATTACATGGACTGTTACCATTTCTTCTGAAAACATATTGGATATAAGTAAGGTCTGCATTACTAATTGGAGTAATGTGTGTCTGAGCTGTGTAGGTGCTTCTTTATTCTTGGTTATTAGTATAGCTTATGCGTTAGCTTCAGTATGTACTTTTCTGTAAAATACCATTTTTTTCCACTAGTTAAATTGAGATTTTAACYGAGATTTCATTGCAGTGAACCTGTGATAGATATTTTCCCCAAACTTTCTGAATTATTTAAAAAATCAAGGAAAATATATTACACCTCAGCAGTATCACATCTGCGATCAGTGTGGACTACTAAGCAGCTCTAGCTGAATCCAAGGACAGAAGTACTATTTCTAGCAATTTACACAGCAATATCTATAATGCAATGCCAGCAGTATCTATAATGCTTTCATACCAGTCTTCCCAGTAGTATCAGTATATTTAATACTGCCCTACAGCCCTACAGAAAGACCCAAGCAATTGTCACATGCCTCATTATTTTAAACTCTGCAGTGCCAGAAATAAAGGTTCTCTGATGCTGCACACTGACTTCACTTCTGAAATATAAAATTTGGGGCAATATTTTATGAACTCTTCTCTTTTTTCTCCTTTTTTTTTTTTCTATTAAAGTTTTAAAGAAGACCAAAAAAAAATAAAAAAATCCTATGTCTAATCACAGTATTTCTTCAATTGTGTGCATAGTTTAATTGGTGCTAGAAATACCATGACTTGCAAAGCAGTTTACAGTGACACTCAGTTTTGTTGCTTTTGGTTAGTAGCATGTTATGCTTGCACATTCTTTTCATTCTCCGTGTGAATAAAATAAGGCCTTGAATTAAGTGCATAAAACCCCAGTGGTATTCTATGGTTAAGTAATTTGCTGCTYATTTTGACTCCTTTTCTGCTTTAAAATCATGCATAATAGCTAAGGATGTAGTTTACTGTATGGAGATGAACATTTGCCTTAATGGATGCAGAAGAGCAGTGATAATTACTGTGCACTGACTTTTAGCACAGGGTTTAAACCCTAGAAGAAATTAAGCCAATGTATTTCCATTCCAACAGATAGAGGGAAAGAAACAGCCCTGCACTTTCCTTATAGATGCCTTGGTTTTCTGGAATGGAGCTTGTTGCTACTGTGTATCTGGCTGTGGAGCCACCTCAGGACGTTTTTGTTTGTTTTTTCCTTTTCTTTGTTTTTTTCCTTTTCTCCCCCTCCATTTTTTTTCCTCTCTACTCTCTTTTTCCTTTTTCCTCTTTCATTTTTCCTCTTTTATTTTTTCCTTTTCCATCTTTTCTCTGTTCTCTTTTTTCCTTYTATTTTTCTTCCTATTTATTTATAAAGATGAATGTTTACATGAAGTGTAGGTCTTGATTTTGACCCCTCCTTTTAAATTATCTTTGAAAATACTTCATTTAAAAGGAGGCAGTCTCATGTTTAAATTGTGTTTTACAAAACTCATTCTTCCTATTTTTCGTATGTATTACAATGACACAATTTTTATCCAGTTTGCACATGCCCACGTTAATTATATTTTCTTCCTAATTTAAATTTGCAGCTGTATTGTAACGTCTCGTATGATTAGTTAGTGAAATGATCCAGATTGCCGAGTTTTATGATGATAATCTTGTTCAGGTAGAATGCAGTGCCCTAGTGGGTTTTCCGATTAAGTGTATTGGCCATTTTCTTTGTTTAATCAAAGTTCTGTAATTTTTCACTTGCTTCCCCTACATCTTTCTCTATACATTACATTTACTCATCAGCGTTGTGTCCTTTGCTAAGGCAGGTTCAACATACTGTAAAAGGTATGTTTAATGAACAGGTGTAATGTAAGGAAACCTTTTTAAAGGGTTGTCTTGTACATATGTTCTATAAATCATAAGGTAAATGGTTCGTAATTTTTCAGCTCACAAATGTAGTCTGTTAGATGAGCATCACACAATGATTTTAGGGTTTTTTTTTTTTCTTTATATGATTAGTAATGTTTTAATTTTTCTCACAGGTTAAATTCTCTATGAAGTACAGTAYAAATATGTGAAATACTTTTATACCAACAGTAATTTATTTTACAGCAAACTTAAGACTAGAGGCACACAGCTTTGAGTCAGTGTAAAAGTAGTGCTATAAATACAAAGCAAATTTCATAGTCATTTTAAATCAATTTTTATAATTTTTTAGTGAAATCAAACTGTAGGAAGTTTTTAGTTGGCATTGAAGCTAATCTGAGSACACTTTCTTATTGAATTTTGTACCTTGGGATAATGAGTTAATTGGAATAATGTGTTGAAAATTGAGTTTTCTAAGTAATGTTTTATTGGCAAGAGAAGACCCCTTGTTGGTAGTGTTTTGTTTTCTGTTGTTGCTGCTGCACTGTTGTGCAAACGTGTCTTCCAGGGCTCGGCCCCTTTAGCCGAGCCGCGATTCGGATTTTAATGCCGGCCATTTGAAAGGTGATGCCGCATTGCACGGCTGGACGTTTTTACAACTGCTTTTCTAATTACCCTAATGCTTTCCTACTTTGTAACAGAATCCAAAGTCGATTAAAACATTATTCCAGAGGGGGAATCAATGTGCGGTTTATACAGAAAACGCCAAACTTCGAACTTGTCTTTAATGTGAAACATCCAGCCTTTTGTTAAGTGTTTTAATTACTGGCGGCGGAAAACGTATCTTTTGTAATGTTTCAGGATGTCGGTAAAAGTAATAAAAACCTCCTGAACGCCAAAACGGGGTCTTTTTGATGTGTGTTTTTTTTAATGTGTTTTCTACGTGTGGTCCGTTTTTGTGCAGGGCCCGGGGCCGCGGCGCGTCTCGTCGCCATGGCAACGCCCGCGGCGTTAGCGGTCGCTAGGGCGCCGCGGAGCACGGGGACTTGCGATTGGTCGGCGAGCCGGCGGCTCCCCAAGAAGGGGCGAGGCGATTGGCCGGGGCGCCGCGGCCGCAGCGGGGCGCGCAGCGGGGCGGAGGCGGCGCGGAGGCCTCGCGGCGGCGCCGTGAGTGGGGCGAGGGGGGCGGCGGGTCCCCGAGGCTGCCGCCGCCCGCGGCCCTGGCGCTCCCGGCGGGGCCCGGGCCCGGTCCCGGTCCCGGGCAGGAGCTCCCGCCGCGGGGCAGCTGAGCCGCGGGGAGCACCGCGTTCAGCGAAGGTAATAGCAGCGGGTTCCTGCAGGCGCACGAGGTGGTGCAAAACGCCTTGAAAAGCAAGTGCTTGGTGGGGGGCACCTTTGCAAAGGCCAGGAGTCTCTGTACTTCAAGCCCTGTGTACACTGGGTGCCCTCTGCCCRCACAGTTGGCATCTCAGGCCTCTGTCTGCCCTAACAGCATCTAGGATAAAACATCTTCCGTATATAAATATAAAAATATTTATCCTAAAATGATGCTCACGGCGGCCCCTTCGCTCCCGCGCTCCCTGCAGCGCCTTAGCCAGCCCGCAATGCTCAGAGACATTCCCCATCCCGGCACCATCCCCAGTCTTCCCCAGGGATTCCCTAAAAAGGCCTGGCCGGGCAGAGGGAAGAGATTTCCCGGAGCTGCTCAAGTGTCCGTGCCTTGATAGAGATCTGCTGTGTAAACCGCAGCGATGCTGCTGCTCCGCACGCCTGTGAGCTGCAGTTTATCAGGGTGCACTCGGGCCCAATCTGCAGCCGTAAGTCATGAGCTGGGAAAGGAGCCCGAGGCCTCGCRTGGCTCCTCTCCAGGAATGTGAGCCTGGCCTGCCCATTTATGGCTCCACTGGAACTGGGAAAGCAGAGGGAAAACACGCACACAAAAAAGGGGKTTGAATGTTTTGAATTGCTGGGGGAATAGGAACCACTCTCTGGATCCTCCCTRTGGTTAAACAAGGTAAAACTGAGTGGTAGGTGTATGTGTGTAGTGTGGCAAATGTACAGATTTCCATGTTGATGCAAATCCCGTGGGAAATACTGCTCAGCCGATGCCTGTGCGATTCCTGGGTTCAGACCCTCTCGTCACAGGCCGTGACCTCCTGGCTGCCTGGATCTCCGGGAATTGTGGGGGAAGCCRTCCCGAGGTCACTGCAGAAGGCAATTTCGAGAGCTCTTCATCACCTTTAATGCTTCCCTTCCCATCATTTGACCCTTTTTGGAATACTTTTTTGGCAATAACATATTGATAATTGCTCCTTTAAGGAGAAATTTTCCATGTGATCTCACAGCCAGCATGTGGTACTAGATACTTTCCTGTCTGACAACAGCATCAGAAGTCTTACTAAAGCCAAGGTATCTGCTGCCTCTTTATCCAGCTTACGTCAGTTACCCTTCAGTGTGATAGATAGTGGAGCTCAGCCAATGGAGTAATGAAGAAAAGAATTCAAGATAAATAGGATATTTGGCTTATAAAGCTGTTCATATCTATTATCTGTATCCAGTAGTGACTGATAGCAAAAATAATAAAGCATGCTAGATTTTTTTTTCTGTTTAAGACGGTTCTTAGCTATTATAGTTACGGAGGGAGATTATCCTCCACTGTCTTTTTGTGTTTTGGTTTATTTGGGGGGTTGTTTTCACTTTCTGAAACTTTGTTTCAGAGGAGGAGGGGAGGCTGTCAGGTTTCATAGGGAAGTCCTGGTAAAGAGACATCAATGGGACATCCAAACTCTCCATGTCCAGTGAAGAATGAAACAAAGGGAGGAATGTATTTTCCTTAAACCCGGAGTGCTCTCTCACTGCGCAGCTCTGTGCAGTTCCCTGGGATTATTGTTCCGCTCCAGCCTGCTCCGGATCGATGAGTCCCTTTCTCCCCAGGGAGCAGGTTCTGCTGCATGGTTGCTCCAAGGATGGTGAGAGCTTCCTCGTGGCTGCTTTATTCCCATGGTTTTCTCTCCCTTTCTCCCTGCCTGCGATGCAGCGTTTGCAGCGAGGGTGATGGGCGCTTTGGAAGCGGCCAGCCCAGAGCTTTTGTGGAAAGTCAGGCCGTGCAGGGGGCAGACAGATACACTGAGAGTCTATGTGCGGTGGGACAAGGGGGCCATAGGGGCTGAGGCTCCGCTCTTGCGCTGCTCCCGTTATTCAACCAGCTCTGCTCTTCTGCTGGGCTAAGCAGGACACACATCCCGCTCGGTGGGGAAAGCCTGGGCACTGCTAGGGTACGGCCTGCAGCTGAAATTCAGGAGATCCCGATTCTAAACTCCGCAGGAAATTTCTGTGGCTCCCTGGTAGTTTGCATGATGCATACATCTCATTTGTTTTGTCAGGAACTTCCTTCTTCTACCTTTCATCTCTCGTCTGTGTTTAGATGATAAAAAAGCCACTATTTTCCCTGCTGCTGGGACAGCCCATCGTATGGGACAGCCCAGGTGCCAGGCTGCAAGCCCTGCGGTCACRCAAATAGCCATCCCACCCTAGGGATGCAAGTAACTGTAACAGGATGCTGCAAGAGGAGCAATGCCAATACAGACGAAGGGCAAGACAGCTGATGTCATTTACCCACACTGAAAATGTTTCTGGAAATGAAGGTTGCTSTGTGTAAGGCTAATTACTTTGCTTGCTAATATGTGGAATTCTAAAGGACTCTAGTCATTTAGTGTTTAGAGTTTTGTGCTGACCAGATAGCTGACCCACGTTTTTCGTCTTGAAGTAATTCCAGTTGTTTCTGTAAGCGTTTGCTGCTTTTTGTCATAGTGATTGAATTCTGTTGCTTTATTTTTCAGGAAAAGCTTTTTTTAGCCCCGTGACGATGATGATAATGTACAATGCCTGATCAGGACAAAAAGCTGAAGAGCACAGAAAAAGCATCAGACAGGAAAACTCTTGGGACGTTTACTAGGTACAGTGTGTGACGTTTTACTTTGTTTGAACTTCAGCAGTACCCACGTGCTATTTGCACTAGCTGCCAAGGCTGAATGCTGTAATTGGAAATGCAGTGTAAACATGACGACTGTTACTCTGGTCGCAAAGTTTATTTACACCTTTATTGATTTAAGGCATTCTGGAGAAGCTATAAATTCTTTTCTACATAGAGTGGTGACATTAGGCCACATCAGAGAACTTTATTTTTTCCCATTAGCCATGTAGCTTGTTGGTCTCTTTTTTTAACAAAAAAATATTTGTATGTGACTATTAATTTATGTTCTCACGCTGCTGTGTTTTATCCTAGGGATTATTCTGATCTTAAAAAGCTTCACTCTCTTTTAAACGTTCAGACCAGCAAACAACAGGTATTTTTTCACTAACCACTATTAAACATAGTCTACAATTGTATAATTATAAATAATGGTGACTATAGCCTGCTGCAAATAGTTATGATGTTATGTTCTGGTACAATTAATTAAATCTGTTAGTAAAATCTTGTGCAGTGCATGTGGCATCTTTTATTTTTGTTGGGGGAATTCGAGCAGTGGGATAAATCCCATTCAGAAAGAATGAAGGAGTGAGGCTGACCAACCTCTTAACCTCACCTGCTGTAATCTCTGTTTAATGGGAAAATATTGCTTTGTTATRTCAATATCTCTGGCAGAGTTTATACAGATATTGTTGCACATAGTCAAGTAGTCTAACAGCTTTATCTTCATCTGGGCTTTTTATACAATATTAGGAGAAAGTAGTCTTGGAGATTTATTAGTTACAATACAATTAAGAACAGTAAAGAATATAAAAGCACAAATTGGCATTTTTACTGTAAACACTTCATCTTGGGAGAGTAACACTCAGCTGAGAATCCTCAGCAGGAAGATTTCACTGTGTGGGGCTTGTTAGCAGTAACATCTTGTCCACCTTGATACGCTTAGTGGAGCCTGTGTTTGTCATTCAAAGAAAATAAAAGCAACAGATTGCAAGAGGCAGCAGTTCTCTGAATGCCAAACAGTTCCTGCCTTTCTATTCCATATAAAAATCATAAAAAAAAAAAAAAAAAAAAAGACGTGAGGAATCCCTCATAGGGTAAAGGAATCACTCCCTTCACTTCCTGGATGGAGGCATGGAATTGCTTCCAAGTATAAAGCTGAAACATCCCAGTCCTCCAATTTAAATAAAATACGAAGGCTGTGCAATTGTATAAGTGAGACTGGTAAGAAGTGATGACAAAAAGAATTGAGCTTGATATTGAGCTTTGTTTTTATAAATTTTAAAAGACACCATCTTGACACTTTATATAGCTTGATGTACAGCATTATTTTACATTGATTCTCCAGCACTTCATTTTTGTATTGTGATAAATATCACAAGTGTGTGTGTACATAAATATATATGTGTATATAACACACGCATACATATAAATTCATAATGGAAATTATAGATCCAAAATTTAATGCTRTCTGTGGTTCAAGTCAGAACTTGGAAAAACGCATATTTTGCATGTTAACATTCTCATAGAACTGATAAAATAGAGTGATTGCCTTGCAAATACTCCCTTTTCTCTTTAGTTTCCAGCTACTCATTTTGAAAGCGATCAAGCCAGCATGACCAAGTCTCAGCAGTCTGTCATCAATGGTGATGGGCAGAAACACCACACTCAGTCGCAAGGAACCATCGAATCTGCTGAACTGGAAAAATTCAGGTTGAAAAACGGCAGCTCTCACGACAACACCCTATTGTATATCAACATCTTAATGCACCTTGGGCTTGTTGGGGTGTTAAAAGCATCTATAATCTGCACTTTTATCTGTATCTTGTACTTCCATCTTAACCCATCGTCCAAAATGTGAATTACTTGCTTCTAGCTTTCTAAACCTAACTGTATATATTCTTGCTTTTGTAAGTGTCAGTCATATGTTCCCATTGAACAGAGTGGGCTGTCRAGTTTTATTATATTTGATTTAAATGAAGTAGTGATGTCTTTATTTGGAAATACAACCAATACAACTTTTTTTTTTTCATTAGCATGAGCTACAAGAATGAGAGAAATTTTAGCAAGCATCCTAAGCATGAACTTTTTCAGGAGATCTTCACAGCTTTAGTTCAGAACAGGCTTACCTGCAGGTAAGGATACTGCATGCATTTATATTTAAGGAAGAGAGGTTACTCTTCCATGAGTTAAGCAAAGAACCTGTATGCGTGGGTAAGACCTGGCATGGATATTTCATAGGCAGCCTTTTGTGTGGAAACTACTGGCTTCACATATCTGGATAATCATTGTTTTAGCCTTATAAACAATCTTTTGTATTCAGTACTGAAGACTGAACACTTGGTTGCTGGGAGGATGAATTGGGTACCTTTCACTAAATGTGGATGACCAAAATTCTAACATGATTCCCATGTTTCCCATGATTGTCTGTCCAAATCTGGTGGCTATGGTTTATGGTTTACTTTTTTTAAAAAATAATTTCATTCTTATTGTATTGATATTTATTTTTATTTTATGGACTGCTGCCAGTATATAAAAAGACTTCAGTGCAACTTAGATGAGCTTATGTTGCTGTTCACTTTTACTTGTATATGTGCATGTAACAGAAAGAAAAAAACCCATTTCTAATGTTGTTCTCATAGCTTTTGATGGAGTGAAAAAATAAGTGCAAGACCTTCAAGAAAATTGCCCCATTTTGATGCCTTCCATTTCTGGGAAAGAAAAGTCTTTTTCAGAATTTGATTAATATATGCCACTGAAGTGTGTTGTATTTTTTATCAAGACAAATCTTTGGAAAGTTTGGAAATTCTCTCTTTTGTGAGTGAATTTCATCATCTCAGTACTACTAGAGGGATATCAGTGGCTCCACTTCATTTAAGAATAACAATTTAAGAATAGCTTATGTCCTCTCTTTCCAAATTGTGTTYACATATTGTGGCACATGTCTTTTGATGATGATATAATAAAACCAGCCTCCTTTATTATAAATGAAAGCACCCAGATAAGATTAATGAAAGAAGTGTATATTAATAGACCTGTAAAACCCATAGCAGAAGTGCARTTACAAAGGTGATTTAGTTGCCTTTTGTAAATCTCTTACTGCAGCCATGATGTTATCCTCTCTTTGGAACTGTGGCCGTGGCATTTTCKCAGAGCTGCCTAAGGAGCTGTCACCTGCATCTCCATTAGACACTTTGCTGGCACAACCATGTTTGTAGGGGTGCAAAAACTTCACACCCACTTGCTGATTCATCACTGTGTTAGCAGAAGACYTGGTTGCAGATAGTCCCATGGAGAATAAAGCTCTGATCAGCTGACCTTAAACTGGGAGAAGCAGTGCAACTGAACAGGGAGAAAAACGCCTSCTGGCATGTGCTGAATTACACTGGGCTCTCCAGTAACAAACAGCCTAAATATGACTAGAGGCAGAGGCTCTCAAACCTTAACTAGGCTCGGAGAACTACTTTTCCTGAAAGTATTGCAGATGGATGGCTCCGTTATGGAAACTAGCTTTGATCAAGAATCAAGATCTTTTGAAAAAATAACTTTACAGGATCTGTTTTCAAAGTGAGGTGAAGATCATTTCCAGTCTCACCTACCACTGTTTCCTAGCGCCAGAATGTGGTTGYTGGTTACTCTGCCTGAAAGCAAAGTGCTTTTCTAAAGGGACCAAGTATGGAAACAAAGTAAAAAATATTGCTTCTGGCAGAATATTGGCATTAAAAGGGCTGAGATTTTGCTAGTATCTATTTGCACAGCATTTATTTTTATCCAAATATTTTTAACCATTGGCGTCATTCCTAACTGCAAATGCTAACAAGGGAAGAGAGCTGCCACGTCGCACAGACTTCTCCCATTCTTTGGAAACTTGCCCAGAYACAGATTCTCTCAAGTAAAACAAAACCAAGAGGGTTCCAATGCTCGATTTGTTTCAAATGGGGAAGTGGGGTATATATACTTTCCAAGGACAATGTAATTACTCAAACACTGCTGGTATTTATGTAGGACCACTGCCCTTTGGTATTCTGTGCAAGTCCAATTTGGGGTTTCTGCCAAGCTCCACATGCAGGAACAATAAAAGAGGAAGCTCTCTGTGAAAGTATGATCCCATATAAAAACATYTAAACAATATAAGTTATTCCAAAGACTAGTAATAGTCTTCAGAATAATTAGACTAATAATAGACTAATATTCTTACAATAGTAATAATATATTTTTAAAAAAACAGAATAGATGATGCTCATTTAAACCTTTATTTCAAATCTAGCTATTCTTTCTCTGCAGCACTCATGTTTTTATTACATTTTTATGAATGTAGAATTAGTGCACTGAAATTTGGCATATGCTTTCTCTGTTTCTACCCTTTGGGGCCTTGATGCTTCATTTGAGCTAAGTTTCTGTCAAATCATGATCTGATCTTTCCTAGTTCATTCSTAGATCACTTCACTGATAATAAATGAGGGTGGTAATGTTCATATTAATTAAATCAAATTAATTAAAATTGTTACTAAGTTTGAATATAAATAGGATTTAGAGTTGCATAGTATAAAATTCTGTAGTGTAGTATATTGCATAGCTAGCGTAGGTTATTCATTTCTAGTAAATCAATCCTGAAATTGAAATGACTTATGCAATGTGATTTATTGGTTTTGATTTGTATGTTTGGATATTTCCACTACAGGGAGTGGGTTAAGCAAGCTCCATCCATCCATTTTCTGAGAGTATTAATCTGCCTGAGATTACTAATAAGGGATCCCTGCTATCGGGTCAGTATATCAAAATATTACTTCCTTCTTAGAGAAGAGATTGCTAATAAGCAGCATGCATATAATAATCTAGGGGCTTGTTTATAAAAATGTGTGCATTTTTACAGACACAAACTTATTACATGTTTGTACCTATATTTCTTCATATGAAGATACAAGTGAGCTGCAAGCAAACATTCCAAGAGTCAACCGCTGCTGTTCTTAGATAATTTACTCAGTTTCTCGTGTTTACTATGTAGTATGCATTGCTGCTAAGCCTRGCAAAGAACCTGTGAATCTGTGTAACAGAGAGCTTGGTCATTGCTCTGGTCAAGATTGCTTAATTGACTTGATTTCTTGGCATTAATGTATAAATTTTCTATAATGTATGAATTGAASGAAACTTAAAACTACCTGTTCTTCCTGGAAACCTTATACTTTGAACTACAACTTCATAGTTTTAATTGTATTCTGGCTATTATATTTGCTATTCATAAGATTAACTCTCACATATCTCAAATATGAAGATATTTGTCTTTATGAATTTATTTAGCAGGTACTCTGAGGCTTGTATCTATATTCCAATTTCTAAACCTTAAAATTTCAACCCTATGTTTTTATATAAGTAATAAAATTCATGTAAGTAGTTCTAAACTTAAAGGTGCTGAGCATCTCCAGAAGCTGTTGACTTTGACTACTGTTTTTTCAACTCTCATAAGAAATGAGACATTTATCTTCATATGTTCTCTCATTCCTGTTTTCTGTATTCTTAAGTTGTTCGTCCATTTATTTATTTTTTTTTTTTAGGAAATGCTCCACAGTTTGGGTGGTGTGGAAAGTCTAGCTCAGGTAAAAGTCCTATTAGTACCTTCGCCCATCGTGTTGCATGCAAAAAGCTGTGTACATGTAAGCTTACTTTATAGGTATGTTCTGTTTGCAGTTGGGCAGGTAGTGTGTTTATTTTTTCACCAGGGTACAAAGCAACTGTCCATGTAATCTAGCAGGGGTTAACTCTTAGCTTTTAGTTGGGAGGGTTAAAAGATGCCCACTGAAGTGGCAAAAGGTTTAGGACAGGTCAAYGTTTGGGTGACTCAAAAGAAAGGGAACTGTAGACTTTTGAAGGAAAGATGAGTGAAGTCACCTTGAGCTTCAGCAAATGACTTCCCAAGGGGACTCTAGAGTGATAGAACTGCTTAACAGGCTGAGATGTGGGAGCTGCAGCATCTTTGTATTACGCTCGCTGTTGTATTGTTATTGCTCTGTGTTAATATTGCTCTGCTCTTGTTGTCCACCTGACAGCAAGATTTAGCATCACTTGGATATGTCTGAGATTGGCACTAACCATTGGTAGTTTTCCTCCCAGAAAAGTAGAATTTACAAAAATAAATGTATCTTTCCAGAATGTAATCATTGTTCATGAATATCTATGGCATCACTCTTACTTCAGGGAACTAATAACGTGCTATCAATTCTTTGGTCTGGCAGTCACCAGTCTGAAACATCCATAGAGCTGCAGCTGTTAAAGAYTGTTTCCTTCTGATGGATGTGGCTGCCGTATGAATTGTTTGGTGTATTCCACTCCTATGCCACTGAATGCTTAGCTGTGCCTCTTGAGGGATTGCACAGTGGGGTTGTACAGTGGCCTCCTGAGATGTTGGCAACAGCTGCAAACGCAGTCCTCTGCAACAGGAACCAAGTCAGAGAACTGATTATCWTTTTTTTTGCATATGTGTTGCTGGCAGAATTCAAAAATCATCAGTAGTAATTTTAATGATTTCTGAACTTTGGGAGAAGTTAATCTCTTTTTATCTTTCAAAGTGAGATAAAATGAAGTGCTAAAGGGAATTCTTGCATTCCAAAACTCACTTTGAAAAATGTTAAGGTTGAGACTTTCAAAATTCCCTCAGAAATTTGAATAGTAGCAGTAAGTCTAGTGTGAATTGTTCATCTAAATTTTCTTGCCAAATCTGAACATATCTCAGTCTAAGGTCCTTCATTAGACTATTATATACAATACAGAAAACATCTTTTTGGTATCACAATTTCATATAAAAACCATGACATATAAAAAAAACTTCATTTTAAAGTGTTTTGTAGAAAACGCTAATAAAATTATAGTGGTGAACCTAGCCACAGCAGTAAGTTTCAGGAATAACTGGGTAAACTGTACAGTATTGTGAAGCAGGTGCACCACCTGCAGGCTGTTTCTGTGCAATAACAATTAGATTTATGATTTATTTTTTTTTCTCTAATAGTATCCTTTTTTTTTTTAACCTATAGTATATGGAAACAGTAGCAAATGACTATCTTGAGTATGGAGAACAGCAGCATAATGTGGACAAATTGGTCAACATGACATGTAAGTGTTACAGCTATTATCTTGCAAGTCCCCATAGACCTTTGTAGCAAAGATTGTATGTGAGGCTTTAAAAAATGTTTGAAATGCTTCAGAAGGTCAAAAGTAAGATATCACTAGATTCTATGTAGACATCATCACACAAGCATAAAGGGAACCCAAACAGCTGTGGGCTAGCAACATCCTGTTTTCCTGAGTATTAATATCTCTTCCTAAAAAATTTGTTACTTCCTTGTATATCAAAATAACAGGATAAAGTGAACCAGAAAGAACTTATCCTTATTTTTAATTTCTTTTTTTTTTTTTTTTTTGGTAAAATGAAAAATGTTCACTGATGAAGACACAATTTATGTGATTTCTTCTGTTTCATAGATATTTTTCAAAAGATTGCTGCTGCTAAAGATAAAAGAAAAAGGGTTATAGTGAGTGGAGCACATAAAGTAAGTGCTTTATAAAATTGCTACTTATAACCTACTAGCTACTTAACTGAATTCTTTATGCTTTTCAAATTTGGGACTATGTTTCTTACAATGTCAAACTTGCTGTTAAGTAAGACAATGTAAGTTCTGCATTTTACTGGTGTGAATTACTATCATAAAATCATTTTGTGTGTGTGTGTTAAATTGGCCTGGTGCCTGCTTACTGGTGCTTTGAGGTAATTAAGTCTTAAGTGTCTTGGCTAGACTTGCTCCTATAAAAGCGGTAGTTGTGCGTACACTGTACCAAACTACATATTACTTCCTASCAATTTACATTATCGTATCTTCTGTGATTATTCCCTTAAGCAGCTTGAGGTTACTGTGAGTGTAAGGACACACACTTGCCATATTTGAAGGCCAATTTGTGGCCAAATTGTGGAACAACTGAGATTGAAAACAGTAGTGTCTGGTTATTCTATTATATTGCAGTAAAAAAATCAGCAATTGTGATGAGATAGCATTTAAAGATATTCTTTTAAAATGCAGACAATTCTGAGTGCCACTGTATAATCTAAATCATTATTGGAGTACGTGTAGTGTTTAACATCACATACAGTTTAAATATAGGCTGAAAATTAATTTTTAACTTCAAGGGCCCTTGATTTAAAGTTCTAAAGTGTTTCACATCARGAAAGAATTTAAAATGGTATCCTAAGCTGGGCTTTAACAGGCATGAGAGATGCTAGCCAGAGTTTGAAAAGAGAGATCCTTCCTCGTCCTAAGACTCAGTATATTCTGAGATTTTATGTGTAAGTTTAAGTGTATTTTAAGAGCACCTTAAGTGTATTTAATACTTTTAGCATATTTTGTGAGGATTCAGAGTCTTTATTTTGTAAAATATTGACTTTTCAATTTAAAAAAAAAAAGATTTTGAGTCATAACAGAAAAGCATATAGTTTATATTCACTTATCTTGTTTTATGTTTTGTTTTCCAGACTTTAGTAAGTTTGTTAGCTGCCAGAGACAGCAATGTGCTTTTGGGGGCCCTCCTTGCTCTAACAAGCCTGGCGGAAAGGTAAGTTCCATTTAACATGCTGTTGTTCCCAGTAAGCATTTTAATCTTATCTCTTRGTACACTATTAAAACTGTTGTTTATGAGGCAGACACTTATTTTCAAAATGAGGCCGTGTTCTGCAGATACCTATGAAGTGTACTTAAATTTACACTGCAGCAGTAAAAATGAGAAGTTAAAAAGCTTTCACAAGCTACCAAGTACAGACTTAGGTCCTTAACGTAGCTTTCACACTCATGTGAAGAACTCTGCAAGACTGCAGTCATATAATCTCTTTGTAGTCCCTGCAGAGGCTTTTATAATCCTTTCTTACTTCTCTGTGTATAAAAAATTTATGTCCTGTACTGGAATATGACAGTGCCTCAAAATAACCAGCAGGAAGTTTATTCATTGTAGTAAATAAAGAGTGGATACAGCCAAATACATGGGTATGTGCCCTCTCTTCACTAATGGCTGCTTTAAATTACATTATAATATATAGTTCTGGTGTGGGGAAGAAAAGGAAAAGAAAGATACAATATCTTTAATTCTTAAGGGTTTTTTAGAAGAAATACTCCTTGTCCTACATTATATTTTTGCTTCTAGACTTTTAAAACAATTATTTCTTTTAAGTGAAACAATTTTAGGAAAATCAGGAAACTGAAGCGCATATCTCTTTCATTCAATTTCATTTTTAAAAAAATATTTCAGGATTAATTTGAATTACGCCTATGTTTTTAACTTGCATTTGATTCTATCCSTAGAATTTTATTTTTTACATTTGGACAGGACAAAAAGATATCTGGAGTACATTAAGAATATTTATACAAATTACGTTTGATTATTTTAAAAAAAGTCTTATTTACTTAATTTCTTAATTTCTAATATCAAGCAAAGTAAATATACTTGTGTTTTACACATTTACTGTTTGGTACAGGGAAAACTGGAAATTGTGGCAGTATCAGTTTTTGACCGAACATATTTTTGTAATTTTAAATGTTCCTGTGCTCAATATGGTATCATTATTTAAGTCTCAAGAAAAAAATAATTAGTCAAAGAATGCATAAGGAGGGAGGCTGAAGGGTGTGGTTTTTTATTTATATAATTTAATTTGACATAAATGCCCCAAATAATCAATTTGTAGTCCAGTATGTAGGGAGAAGATAAGTGAGCTCATCATTGTTGAAAACTTGCTGGTGATATTACGTGAATACGATTTACTTTCTAAAAGGTGAGATTTTGCTTATAGATTCATTCAGTTGTTTTTTTTTTAATTTTTATTTAGGGATATGATGATTTAGATGAATTAGRTAACATGCTATTTTATTCCAGGTAAAGTTCTAAAACTCTCTGTTTTCAGTCAGGTATCGATAGAGCAAAATCTCTTCCAGGAGGCTGTCTCCTGCGTGCCTGGTGAAGGCCTRCAGTTCACATAGATGGTAAAGCTACCTCTGAGTGGCAGCAGCTGCGTTTCTTGAAGCTTCTCCTCTTTGCTCCCAGCAGAGCACCTGGGTTGAGCTCTCACACATCCTGGGATGCACAATGGAAATGAGTAAAAGGCATCAGACGCAGCTGCTTTAGTTTCTAGCAGAAGCCGCACATCCTCTTGCTCAGAAGCTCAGAAAGGCTCCTTCAGTCCTGTCTGCATTTGCATAAGAATCCACGAACTTAATATTTCACTTACCCTATCACATTTAACATTTTTAGAGAGTATTAATTCTTTGCTTATTAATTTTACATGTGATTAGAAATAAAGCAATTAAAAATGCCCAAAGATGTTATTTATATTCTGCATTTTAAATTATTTAGATCGTTTTAAAACTATAATGTTGTTTAAAAAAGAGGAATTTGAAACCAGAGAAAAAGCTGGTGAATTCACTGCTAGGTAAGGACAGAAGTTCAGATGGTTTCATCTGGTTTGATATGGTTTATCAAACATATATACAGCTTTTTGGCCCCAAATGAGAGCCATAATTTTTCTGATACATGCACACTAATAACAGAGAGTGGAGCTGATAAAAATTCTGTATAAACTTTTTTTGTGATATGTCAAATCCCTTTTGTAAACATAACATTCCATAATATTAATACCATACTGGAGAATAACCTAAATTGCTTATGCAGTTATTATAATTACACAGTAGCACTGTACAATTTTACACAGTGGTACTGGTCACTGTTGGTTTGGCTGCATATTGTGACATTCATACTCAATAGAAAATAGAAGTTTTCTTTAACCTCTCCTTTTATAGGAGATGTCTGTTCTCTCTCAAACATTTGCTATGTTTTTTCTCCCCTCTGTTAAATGGCATTTCAAGTGAATGAGGCAGAAATTTCTTGCTGATTTTTCAGGCTCACGGCAGAGCTGTTACGACTCCTCTGTGCAGAGTCACAAGTCAAAGAACAAATAAAAATGTATGAAGGAATTCCGATCCTGCTGAGTTTGCTCCATTCTGATCATGTCAAGCTTCTGTGGAGTATAGTTTGGATTCTGGTACAGGTTTGTGAAGATCCTGAGACAAGTGTGGAAATCCGAGTTTGGGGTGGAATCAAGCAGCTCCTTCATATATTACAAGGGTAGGTTTTCAGTCTTCAACATTATGGCAGTTTATGTCCTCAACAACCTGTTTCATATATTAAGGTACATCTGACCAAGCCACATCTTATAAAACAGCTTCTTTCTTCTGCTGTTTGTGATGACTGCAGAAATTAAAAAGCTATACAAAACATAATGAATAGGAAGTTTTTCTTTTCCAGTTATGCATATTTCATTGCTCTGTTAAATTGCATTTTTTATATTTTCACTGTATAAATAAAACCAGGAATAGATTTGAAATGCTGTTATTGTCTACTTAGCTTCCCTAATATTCTGACACCTTTTTGGTAAACTAGAATTGTGGGTAAAATTGATGGACACTTTAAAGTACTTTCTGCTTAAATGTTTGTTTGCTTTTTTGAAGCATAGTACCTAATCCGGTGAAAAGATAAGCACCCAGATTTTAAGAATGTAAGAATTGGTTAACAAAGGTACATTAAGCCAATTTTTAGATTGCCATTTTTAAATTAAATTTAATTTAATTTTCCTCAGCAAGAGAAATCTTGTTTCTGATCGCTCTTCAATTGGAAGTTTATCTAGTGCGAATGCAGAAGGGAGAATCCAGCATCTTAATTTCTCAGAAGATTTGAGTCCTAAAGAGGTAGAAGAAAATGCTTTTTCTCTTAAGGCAGGTAGGTTTTTAAACCCTAGTCCTTGGTTATGTGTTCACCTCCACCTGCACAAAGGGATTCAAAATATTTCAAAGTTGGAATAATAATTAATAACACCTGCTTCGRAGAGTGGGAGCATCAAATAAGCTGTGTTTATGTCTAGATGTGCAGTCCCAGTACATATTTTCAGAAAGTATCCTATTTTTTTTTAAGAAAGAAGCACAGAGTAATGTATTTAGTTCATGGGAATCATATACATTTATTTCACCAATAAAACACRTCAAGCATTTTTTTCCTTTTAAACTTTGTTTTTATCCTGAGTTTATTTTTATTGGCTTGTATCATACCCTCTATATAAATTGCTATGCTAGACCACTCCTGAACTGATTATGGTGGAGCACCTTGAAAGTGGCATTTCAAAGGCTGGCTTTGGGTGAGATCAGTAGCCTCCTTCAGCAGCTGTGGAGAGATTAGAGCCGTATCACAACAGCAAGTCAGTATTGCCATTCGGAAATGCTCTCTGGAGAACTGTCACTCCCTKTGGAAGGACTATGCAAATGATCCTTGCTGGGATTATATTAACTTTGGCAATGTCCCCTTGAAAATTATAACATAATAGGCAACAGTCTGGTTTTGAATACACTATCTATTATATCTGAGGAGCGTGGAATGTGAAATAAATAACACTGGTATATGGCGTAGAGAATATGGTCCCCTTGCAGAAACATTGCCCCCACGGAGTTACTCTGGGTTACTTTTGCCTGCTTTCTCTAAGGACTCCTACATAAGTCACTGGAGTGTAAGCACTGAACCTRCAGAGATCTTTTGTGATTTTGACAGTGTTTGTGTTTTTATCCACATTAATATTTTTGTGCATCTAGTGGTTTGAATTACATCTGATCTTTTCAATTCTAGCTTGTTGTGCTGCAATTACTGAACTGGTGCTCAATGATACCAATGCTTACCAAGTCATACAGGTGAGAAGGCTTCAGTTAAGTAAGGCATCATTGTTTATAATCTTACCATATCTTGATTATTCTCTTGAGCAAGGAAGCAACCTATATTTGTAGGAATTGACTATTTTTTTTTTGTTATTGGTCAGTATCATTCAATTAACAAACAAAATGAATTTCAAAGGGATTGGATATATCTTTATATGACTTCATGTCTCTTTTTAGGCACACACACTCAGACTGACAGAGATCAACGTATGTGCCTGGTTGTTAGAATGAACCACTTTACTCAAACACCTACTATATTTTGATTGAAATCTCTCACCATATTTTTGCCATATTCAAAATAGAATAGTAGATCAGAGTAAACATGGAATTTGCTGGAAAACACAGTTTCAATTTTTATGTAGTTTATTAAAACAGACTTTGAGCAACTTAATGTTGGCATGTCAGGCAAGCTATTTACCTTTTTTTCCTCGGGACTTGATATTTCTAAAATAATGTCCTAGCATTCCACCCCCAGAAGTGCAGCCCTAGAGCACAGTATAAAATGCAGCATTTAAATTGTCTAGAATCAATGGTTCTGAAAATGGTTCATAAAAAATCCTGTTAAGGTTTTCATGCATAGCTAAAGACATAACTATTGAGGACACTAGTACCAGCTAAAATCTATAGTCACTTCTGTTACACTAAATGATAGGCCAAGATTCTTAATCCATGTGTTAGCTTAAAACCCTGCTAGAGCTGTTCCTAAATCAAATCAAGGGAATGGAGAGTCTTAAATCTGATAAGCAGAGGAGTTGACATATATTTCAAAAGAACTGGTCAAGAAGAAAGGAAGGGAAGTAGGTCTAGAAAAAAAWTTTCTGTGTAGTTTAAGCATTAAAATTAATTAAGGCGTATCAATTTTGACAACTTTTTGTCTGCATATGAGTTGATTTTATCCAAATAAAATAGCACTTATTTAAATTGGATGTATTTTGAAAGCAGAACTCTAGGGAAATTAAGGAACTAATGTAGAATACGAACATAATTTCAAGTACATTTATTTCAACAGCAGTTCCACCCCTCAACAGTCTGTTTCATTTCCCACTCCTTTCTGCTTATGCAACTTTTTGAGAGCTGCCGGGAGAATATGATCAAGGAACTCACATAGGACTATTTTTATCAATCAGATAGAGGAAGAAGAATTGCAGCTCTTTTGTTTATGAGTTCAAGCTTATAGAGAAAGTCAAGCTTTGTTTCTCTGAAGGTTTATCTCAGTGGCAAAGGGCTCTGTTCAAACAGTTGAGAACTGTTTGCTTTCGCTGTAGCTGCTTCTTCCTGTGCATCCTGCACCTCCATCAGGAATTGCAGCCTGAGTAGCAGAGTGTGCAAAAATGAATGTGCATTTCTGGCACTGCTTTACAGTCTGAAACCTGGGTTCAAATCTACTTTCATGAACAGCTTAAGCAAATATGTCAGGAACTGCACCAAAGGACGTGCAGAGYGGAAACCAAACCCCTTCAGTTCTCCAGTTAGTCTCTATCAGGGAGCTCTACCAGGGAGATACCTGAGAGCAGTACTGCGACCAAATACACCAGTGAATCCACCAACACAAAGTGTTCTCTCTATTAATGGAGGACATAAGCATGGTTACAGGAAAATGGAAGCTGAAATGCAGTGTGTATTCTAATATATTTGAAGTAATGCTAGTTTTTATTTGTAGTTTCTGTGCAAAGAAGTGCTATTATTACTGACCTTTCTCTTTCCCTTTCAGGCAAATGGAATACATACAATAGCAAAGCTGATTTTGCCAAACAAAGAAAGTAGTGCTGAGAAAGCTAATTTATTACAGGTAACTTCCTTTAACATTGTTGCACGATGAAAGCCCAAAATAGTCCCTGAGATTTATTTTTATGATTTAAAATTTTATTTGAAATAGCGATAAGCCATGCAAAGGAAGGGAAGGGGAAGTCAGGGGAAGTCCAGGTGGCCCAGGAACTAAGAATTAAAYTGTGACTCAACTGAGGGATCAACTTAAAATGCAAATTATCAGTAGTTGTGGATTATCTGTTAGCCTCYGTGAAAGGTCATTGGTGTCCCACTAAGCTCTAGAGAAGGAGTTGTCTGTGATTCAGGGACATCTGTGACACAGCTGCTGCTGCCCTGGCTGCCCCTCTATGTGGCTCTGGTATCAGTTACTCATTGTGCATACATACTGTATGTAAGATCATCAYGCCTTAACTGAAGCATGTCATAGGTGTTAATATTTTACATCACATTGTTACTGTGAGAGAGACAACCATTATTCCCATTAAAGAAAGTCACCCGTCTCCTTGTTAATCTCTTATTGTGTTGTCTCCTTATAGACGGAGTCCTATACTAAGAACTATGTACAGTCTCTAAAAAGAAAAAAAAGAACCTTTCAAGGTAGCATCTTTGACCAAATGTGRCCAGGTTGTTCTGCACAGCTAAGTTGCTCTTGCTGGGATTCTCAGGGGGATGTTGGACAAAGAAGCTCGCCCTGTTTCTCYTTTGTTGGATGTTTGTTTTGGACTGAAAAGGATCTTGCTCTGAAAAAGAGAGAGCTTCTTGGCAGCATTAACAATCCAGTCCTTTCCTGTAACATTTCAAGTATTCAGCTTCCTTCAAAAATAGTATTTGACCTTGGTTTTCTTCATTTAATGTGTTTTCCACATGCTGAAAAAAGTATTTTTGACTTGGGGACCAATTCTGCACTACTAGAGCACAGTTATGGTTGCCTAAATAAGGAYTTTTGAATTGGACTTCGGTAGCATTTTAGTCACTGGTGTAATAAAGTAGATTTACATAATGTTAAAGGCACTTACCATTTTATACTGTTTTAGATATCAGTAGCATATTTCTCTTTGATTTGCTTCATATTGTCATCTTTGTTTGGTTAACCGTATTGTATAGCAGATTAAGTAAATGACTGTCAGTACAGAGAATTTAACATGAGTTACATAAAAGCAGACATATTAACTGCCTGCTGGGGGCTATTTTAAAATTAAGTTTTCTTCTGTGGTAAACATATAGAAACTGAGGTGTACTTCATGTGTATGGAGGAATTTGTGTAACTGAGATAAAAAAAGAAAAAAACCAAAACAGTATAACAATCTTCCTTTCTTCCTTTCTTCCTTTCTTCCTTTCTTCCTTTCTTCCTTTCTTCCTTTCTTCCTTTCTTCCTTTCTTCCTTTCTTTCTTCCTTTCTTTTTCCTTCTGTTGGAACTTCCAGTGCTCTAGACTTCATTTTCGGGGGGAGGGGGAAAAAAGCCCTAAATCTAAAATTCAGTTTTACTGCATCATTACAAACTCACTGGTAACACTTGCCCTGTTTCAGTACTGGACAACTAAGCAGGTCTCAAATCTTGAGCTATCTGCAAGTGAAAAACACAATGAAGACTTATATGTGCCTTGGCACCTAGCAGTGCTATCAAAATAGTCACCCATATTTTTTTCCAAGTGGGTCTGCCTACTTTTGAAATACAGTGGGAACGTATGCCAATCACATGAAGTCAAAGTATATTTACTTTAGCTTTCTTGAGATTAATTTATGAGGTAATCTACTGACTCATTTCAATACAAAGATTACAGAGGTGGTTTTTATCAGAAGCTTTTTAATTTGTATATATTTGTCATTAATACAATTTTTCCYTTACTGTAGTGCTATGCTTTCAGAGCCTTGAGATTCCTCTTCAGTATGGAAAGAAACAGACATCTCTTCAGAAGGTAAGTTAGCAAGACGTTTTGTACAGCTGCCTTTGGGTGGCTTACAAATTATCACTCCAATCATAAGAACATACTTTTTAAATGTCATCATTTCTTTTCAGCAAAAAGAATAAATAATCTGTCCAGTCCAGTCTCCAGTGGCACCTTCCTGCCCCATAAATCCTATTGTAAAACGTGTTGAGGGAAGATGTCTGCTGGAGATAAACCTTACTTTCATCCTAGAGATTAGCAAAGCAGTATCAGGTGTGAATTACAGACCTGGGGCTGGCGAGGAGCTGGGAGGAGTGCATTTACTCTCTCCTCACTCCTCCACTCTTTCAGATAGGAAGGACCAGGCATCAAGCAGAGATACYTAGGACTATTCCTGAAAGGTTGGTTCAGTAAGGAGAAATTATCTTTCACCAGCTACCCGTTTGCCATCATTCTACAACGATGTAGAAAGTTTTACTGGATAGAATATAAAAGATGTTCTTTGATGTGTGGATTTAGGATAGCTACAGATCATACTGTCTATGGGTTCTGGCCGTTGGTAGTGTTTCTCTARTGATTTATTTTCCATCATAAATTGCTAGAATTCTAAATATGTCTTTTGTCTTTTAAAAATGTGGAATTTGTCAACTTTTTCGAGTGGAGGGCCCCCAGCTTGTAATGAATGTCAGGGGCTAGTGTCAAGCACTGGAAAATGAATGCCTGCTTTGCTGTCTCTCATATTTTCTTCATCTGCCTTACTTTTCAATATTTCCACTACTGCTGTAGATTAATAGCTTTTGTGAACATGTCTCTAAAATATATCAAAATGTTAAATCTTTGTAGACTTTTCCCTACTGACTTGTTTGAAATCTTCATCGATATTGGACATTATGTTCGTGATATCAGTGCTTATGAAGAGCTAGTATCAAAGTTAAATTTATTAAAGGTAAGTAAAAAGTTTCATAGAGTCAGGCGGAAATATTTTTTGCACATAAATATTTTATATTTATCATTTAATTTATGACCAGGGTGATGAATTGAAGCAAATTGCTGAAAGCATTGAGAACATCAATCAGAATAAGGCACCTACAAAACACATAGGCAATTATGCAATTTTAGAACACCTTGGCAGTGGAGCTTTTGGAAATGTATATAAGGTAAACTTCCCTTTTGATGCTAACTATACATTTTGGGGGAAGCTTCACAAAGAGGGTCTATGAACTGTTTAAAGTACTGACTGCCTTCCTCTGAATTTCATCAAGGGAAAGCAGGGGTTGAAAAACCTTTTTCACATCCGGGCTTGTTGCTTCCAGTTCTGCACTTCTTTTTGTTCGTAGTGTTTACTGTGATTTTTGACATCTCTGTGTAAAATTGATCCTTATCTCTCTTAGATATATTGAATGCTACTTTTGCTTTCTTTCAATTACTTGCRATGAACAGAAGTGCTATTTATTGAAAGTTTAACAAATCTCTAGAAACACAGAAGTTCAGACATGTTTAATCTGAAATCCAACATTAAGGGTTGATAATGCTCCTTGAAACACTGCAGAGAGTTTAGCAGGTTACTGCTAACTTTACAGTGTTAGGGTGCAGTTCTTATAGTTAGTCACATCATACATACAGAAAAAAGAACAAACACAAACTTTTAATTTTTGTGAGGGAGGCTTAGACTCAGAGAACTAATCCATAATAATATCCTTTTGTCCTCATCCTATATTAATTCTACGGGGTTTTTATCTTCTTCTTAGGTTAGAAAACATAATGGACAAAATCTTCTAGCAATGAAAGAAGTCAATTTACACAATCCAGCGTTTGGAAAGGACAAAAAAGACAGAGACAGTAATGTAAAGAGCATCGTCTCTGAATTAACCATCATTAAAGAGCAGGTATGTCCCATGGACTCTAGTTCTGTGTATGGGCATCCTCCTGTTAGCCTTATCCTTGTGAGCCCTGGTGTAACAGGGCTTCCAGCTGCTGTTAGTGGTTTTGTCTGATCAGTGCAATATTGGCTCCTTGTGCCTGAAAGTTGTCAATATTGCATAAATTCCTGCTGTGATATAAACAACAGTGCTCATACTCATTACTGGAGGTATTGACTTTTTCTACTCGAAGTATTCAAACTTTTTTTTAAAAGATYTCAGTAATTTAGGGTGGCAGTTGAAATCTAACGAGTCTCTGTTCCAATTAAGTATTCTTGACTTTAACATACAGTGAGAAAATAGACAACAACAGCAAAAAAACACCTTTATGAGGGTCAGCACTTGGATGCAGATGTATCTGCCTGTTTACAGACTGTTGTGGTTATTAAGAGGAGAGTGGATAGCAACCATGCTGGTTTCTCTTCTGCTTGTCCKAAGGGTAGCTGGGAAAGGTCTCTTGCACTGCAGTTCATAGACAACTTTGTGAAACTCTTGTTACCTGTTTGCTGTACAAACAGGAGGAAGAAATCCTTATTAATCCTTATTAAGAAATCTAAAAGATGTTGTTACATCATAATTATTTCCTTCCAATGCCTAGCTAAACATTAGAAATTATGTGCCATCAGTCTAACRATCCTGAACATCTACATTTCTTTCCTTGTTGTAGCTTTATCATCCAAATATTGTACGCTATCATAGAACCTTCTTGGAAAGTAAGTATAAATGCAGAGAATTACCATACTGTACCCAGTGAAGAAACAGAAATATGTAACAAGTACTTACAGTTGGAAAGGAATATGTCTGATTTGAGCAGTAAGTGCTAATATTTTCTGAGCACTTTTGTTTACTGATCTATTACAGATCAGACATACTTATATTAACTTGGAAAAAAATGAGAAATACTGTTATATCTATATCACTAAAAGTAGATGCAATGTAAGCACATAGGAAATGTGGTCCTCATCCTGTAGAATTATGAATCTGAAATTCACAATTRGAATGCTGAGCAGGCTGGTAGATGGAATGAAATAGGTTGCTCAGTCATGTTGTCTTTTTAATGAAGTGGAAGCAACCGACATCTGCCCACTGAGTAGTTATGGGACAGTGACTTCCTTACAGCTGCCTTGAYAGAAATGTATATGGAGGAAAAAACRGAATAACAAWGGGGAGTACCTAARGTTAAAATACATTTGCTTGTACAAATATATTTTTTTTTAAGTAAAACCAAAAAAGCTACATCTTCTGTATAAATATGTTTCTACACTATTTTCTTTTTTGTGTAGATGACRGGTTGTACATAGTGATGGAGCTCATAGAGGGGGTGCCATTGGGAGAACACTTTCATTCTTTGAAGGAAAAGCAACAGCACTTTACAGAAGAAAGAATATGGAATATATTTATCCAAGTAAGCGTCGGTGTGTTTTTCATTGAGACTTTCCTACAGGTAGTTAGTAGTGTCATTTATGTTTCTCAGGCTAATAATAACCAACAAAGTAATGCTTATTATGTCACTAATACAAGATATAAAGAAAAATGCATTTGCCTTTATTTAGGTTGCAGTAAAGAATCTCTTTTTTTTTTTTTTTTGTTTTTAAGCTTTGCCTCGCTCTTCGTTATTTGCATAAAGAGAAAAGGATTGTTCACCGAGATCTTACTCCAAACAATATCATGCTGGGGGATAAGGACAAAGTTACAATTAGTAAGTAAAGCTCCTTTATTTGAAGAGAATTGCCCGTCATATATCTGAGGAGCACCTCTCTACTGCAACTCGTAGGAGGTTTCAGACTCACGTGCATTGGYCGTTGTGCCTGAAATGAGTGAATTGTTTCATGATTGTACTGTTCTGTAAAACAGTCATTAATGCAGATTTAGTGTTCGTTGCCACCAGGGACCAGCATCCATAGCTATATTTTTTGCAGGTAAGGATATTAAATATGACTGAAGAAATGATTTAGCTATAAAAGAAATTAATCTATCACAATGCTTCAGGGCCTGCTTATATTTAAATCAATAAGAATACTGAGATAACCAGATTAGGCACCATGTCTAAGCAAATGCTAATGAACATACAAAGTGAAATGGGTATCCATTCTAATCCAGTTTGCCCATGCAAATGTAAATACCCATCAGTTGTTCTCGTTGTTCAATTGAGGTGTAGGGGGGTATGTCTTTAATCCTGTGGCAGTCAATAGCCTCGACCTGTATTTCTGTATTCTCTACTGGGTGCAGCAGTCTGATGTTTTATTTTGGTATCATCTTTGACTGAATTAATACAGTCTAGAATATGCAGCAAGCTCAACAGGCAATTCAGAGGCTGTAGTTTTTAATTTCCATGCACATCTACTACATTCTTATTACTTATGCTACTGAACAAAATAAATAATTTGAGGATTGTAACCTCTCTGCGTCTTTGAAAATAAAAGGGAAAGGCAGAAATAGAAGCTCACCCAACCACAAAACGCTACGTTATAGTAGACCAATGTATTTGGCTGCTGCCATTTTCAAGTAGATACTTATACCTGATGATACACACATTTAAATTCATTATTAAATCATATGAGCTGAAAAGCTCTAATTYATAACAATATTAAAATTTTGAGAAATTATGACTCAGTGTCCCTGAATGGTAAAAATTAATACTGAGAATGTTATTGTATGTAGTGTTGGCATTTTATACCAACATGTAGCCACTGGGCGGCAGTCTTGCCTTGATTTAGCTCCTTTGCCTTACTGCTGGTCCAATTTACTAAATTGCCATTGAAAAGTATTGTATTTTCGTCAAAGATTTACAGATATTTAGGAAAACTGGAAGAACTGAAACTTGTTGTGACGATTTCTAGGCTCATTGATTAGACACTCTTGTGGTATTTAAACATAATTATTTTATATAGGAATTTAAATAGTAATAGCATAGTAAACTTAAGGAATTTCCAGAGGGAGTTGAAGATCTTTTACCTATTGCTTCTCAATTTGACTGGCTGTGTTGGTTTGCAGCCTTAATGAAAGTAAAAATAACTTCTGTTCTTTCTAATGGTAGTAAATGTATATGGTATTGGTGCATGCTGTAGTATCATGCTTGATTCATACAATGAATCCATACCACAGACTGGATCATTTACAGTGTTAACCTTTAGATCACACAGTATTTAAGGAGAAGGTTGGCAAATTATCGATCATTTGACAAGTTCAAATGGTTTCATAGGAAGTTTTATGTAAAAAGGTCTGATGGAAATGAGAGCATCTGCCCCCAAATTAAGAAATCTTAAATTTTGGCTCTATAGTGAATTTAACCCTTTTTTAAGTTTTTAACTTTTTAATAGTTTTTTTTTAACTTTTTCAAGTTTTGTACAATAAAAGGTTCTGCTCCACAAATCAACTCAGAACTGTAACTCTGTGTTTGCTCACCCCAATTTGCCCCAATATTAAGAAATTTTAAATCTTGGCTCTGTAGTGAATTTAACCTTTCACATTTTATAAGATAAAAGCTTCTGCTCCACAAATCTACTTGGAACTGTAATTCTGTGCAGAGTCATCATAAAGAGACAAAATTSAATTTTCTGGAGACTTTCAAATCCCAAAATGGTGCGCAAATTATCTCTAACTGCAGTAATACTGTTGTGGTGTTAGCAGTGAAGCAGTGTTGTGTGACAGGCTAATTAAGAATTGTCTCTCTTCAAACTATTTGGCTTTGAGGGAATAAAGCTTGAAAGTTTGTATGAGTGTAATGCTCCTTTTTTTTTTTTTTTTTTATTTTCCTCTTCCTTATGCAGTCTTTCTGGAAATAGTACTTTTGTAAACTTTTGTGGGGAGAATCTGCTCACTGACCATATAATTCAATTAAGCTAATTCCTCTGTAACCAAAATCCTTCAAATATGTTGTTTCTATTAGAACTGCAATGGCCCAGGTTTGGAAYTCGCATAGATTTTGACTAAAAGAAGAAAAGAATACTGAGGAATAAATTGGAGCAAAGTGCTTCTGTAGACTTTCATTCTATACTGAGCGTGGTTATGGAGCAGCCCAACAACAATGCGCTTTAGAAAAGTTCTGGGATCCTCAGTATTTCCCACTGTGCATGTGGGAAGAACTGAGCCACTTCTGTTCCAAGTCTTATAAAGGTCTCTCATAAAGATTCTGAATTTATGTTTGTTGAAGAGGAAAGGAATGTTTAGTATGGGAAATATTTCTACCTTGCTGTGGGCACAGGAAAAAAAAAATTAGACCTACTGCAGAAATGTGCTTAAGTTCTTCAAGTCATGGAGAAAATGCTGCCTACAGAGGAGGCCCTTGCAGAGCGATTCCAGCAGAACTTAATGGGCTAGGACGTAGTGGGAAAGCTCAGTGAAGGCAAGAGTTCCAACGGGCAGATGACTCTGCATTCCAGATAACTACATTTTGTAGAGATGGTCTCTGAACATGCCTGCGGTAGCTTTCCTGCAAAAAGACAACCTGAGGTAGCAATAGGGAGAGCTTCTGAATCTGTGTGTTCACAGTGTGTTTTTTTTTTTTTTAAATCTTGAATGACACTATTCTTGTTGAGTCTTTGTTTCTTCGCTTATTTTAAGTCGTAAGACCAGGAGGCTAAAACCAGATTCATTTTCATGTGTCAATTATAATACTTCCATGTTTCTTATGATGTCTTTTACCCATGGGAATTGAATCTGCCTCACCTCAAACTTTTCTGAGCTCTTTTAAGCTCAGGAAAACAAACATTTGCAATCTGCTCATAGCCATATTAATGGTGATAAAAGATCTCTGTTTCTGATTGTAGACATGCAGTTGTTGTGTTATCTGTTTTTACTGCAGCTGTATCTTACTGCATCTGTGTTTTGTTTCTAACACAGGCTACTTCTGTCTAAAGTTTCATAGTTGCATGTGTCCGTAGGGCAAATTGCAAGACTCTGTACATCATTTTTCCCCAATGCCTTCTAATTTCAACAAGATACAGAGCTTGATGGTCAAAGAAGGTTTTATGGAACTACTTTGAGACCTTTCAGATCTGCTATCAAGGAGATCTGGRAAGAGTTTCATATGCTTTCATGGAGGATGTGCTCTGTTTATGTTTTAGTGCAAATAATGCAATTAGCAGAGGGGATCTGTATGCAACTGAAACCAAGGATTATTGTATGGCAGCGGAATACTGATGATGGGACAAATCACCTCTCCCATATACTTCTAATCATAGAAGGCAGTCACAAAGTGACAGAACAGTAAAGCAAAGGAGGCTTGAAAGTTCATGTAGTTGGCAAATCTTGGAGGAAAGCCACACGTTAACTCTGAAATTTAGAATTGGTTGTTGTGTGTGCTTTTTAAAAGACTTCTTGTCTTATTCTGTGCCAGACACAGAATAACACAAGTGTCTGGTGATGTCTAGTGATATAACTACTCTGTTGTGCATTAGTCATTACTTTGCAGTGTCACTTACAGCAATGCTGTTTTTGCAGGTCATATAACCAGTCTTCAGTATCAGGATCACTGCCCTTGATAAAAAGATTCAAGGAAATGCTTATAGTACTTAATTTTCAAAGCTTTCTGAAGAGTTTGAGTGGAGCTTTCCATCCTTTTGTTTAATCTTATATAGTAAATTGAGCATTCTGGAAACTATTGATAACTTAATGCACAATCATGTATTTCTTCACAAATTACAGTTCTAAGTGGGGAACAGTTCCTGGTATAGGAACATACAAACATAATATGTATGTGATATAGATTGTCTAGGAAGGTGTATTTGGGAACAATGATCCTGTCTTGCTAAATTTCATATGCCTGGAATAGTCATAAATATGATGATGACTTACAAATTTTACTCAAGAAATGCGCCACAAGATATTTTACATTATAAAAAGCTGATCTGCAACTTTTTCAGCCCTTTGAAGTAAGATGAGATGAAAAATAATATTTTAAGATAAATGAACTTGAATAACAGGCTACTAACTAGAACTGTAGGGACATCCATCCCTAAATTTCTCAAGCATTAGGAACTGAATTTATGTATTCTTAATACTCTCTTTTTAAAATATTAGTTATATGAAGAGCTCAAAAGCAGTGAATTTAGAACGATTTATTCAAATTAGGGAAAGTATCAACACTGCAAAAATCTCAGGTCATGTTGTGAATATTATCCCCTCAGGTGAACTGCCTGAAGAGTCTAACTCAAGGGCAAGAGGGAGACTTTTCACACATCCTGTTAATTTAACATTCTTTCTACCTGTGCTTTCCAAGAACTACAGCAATAAAAGCAATACAGCACTACAAAGAAGAACTACAGTCCCAAAGAAAAAATAATCTGTGGCCAGGATGCCTAGATTAAAGTTTCTTATCAAAGTCTTTCTCGAGTAAGACAACTACTACTTTTCAGACCTTTGAGCCTCGCACAAAGCAAGAACCAGCAGAAACTATTTTTTTCTTACCTGTGTTTAGTTCTGATCCACAGCTGCTTTGATGAGTAGAAGCATTTTGAACTAAACTTCATACACTACCTCACCTCAAAGCAATTGGGGTGAGAATGCTGTGATGGGTGTTGCCTTACTTGCCTAACAGGATTAGGACAGTTAGGATACTGTCTAGATCCACATAGACAAGGAACCTTGAAATATTTTAACCCACTCAAATCTTACCATTTCTATTATGGCATTAAAATGCAATGTGTTATTAACAGTTCTTTAACTGAATACAGCAATTTTTCTCTTGCTCTCTGCATTTAGATTTAGTAAAGTGCAATATTATAGCTGCATTGTTGTATTGAGACAGCTGTACAGCACTGATCTATGGAACTCGAGATTGTTTTAATGAAGATTAGATAAAAAAAAAAAATCTATAAAGATGTATGTGACTTAATTATGTGAAAGAGGTAACCTGAGAAGTGCACAAAAGGCAGTTAACATCATTTCATGATAATCTGATTTTACAGTTTTTGTCATAAATTAAGACTTAGATTCTCCATTATTACTTAACAAGTACAATCTTCTAACGTGAACTTTTCTGATGTTCAACCTCCCATACTCCTCAAAAATAAATTTTGGAGAAGTCCATGCTTCACATAAGTTTATCATAATTTGAAATAAAGCTACATAATTATTTTTTCCATTAATTTGGGTATAAGATCACTACTTGTTGATACTTTATTACTGTCATATAGTTGATTGGGAAATATTAATAGAAATCTGCAATTGGTCATATAGTTTGGATTAAAAGCAACAGRTATGTGCTTATATTTTTAAATGTCATGACTGCTTAAAACATATTTCATTGATTAATGTGGAAATAGGCAGATAGGCATTACTGCATGCTTTAAAAGATTTTTTTTTTTTAAAAAGAATGCTTGTCAACTGTTGTGAACCTGCATTAAGTATCAGTTATTTAATTGTTAGGGTAGTTATTGTTATTTATATATAAATATAAACCATTCCTCGCTTTCTTTTCTTTTCTTTTTTTTTTTTTTGTAGCTGACTTCGGTCTTGCAAAGCAAAAGCAAGAAAACAATAAACTCGCATCAGTTGTTGGAACCATTCTATATTCCTGGTAAGAGTAAACCACAATATTTAATTGCTTCCATCTTTCATGGTTATTTTTCTTAGAACAGACCTTACAAAAGGTACAAGGTAGAAGTAAATGCACAGCTACTCTGTAGTAGTTCCTTCTTTTTGTATATGGATAGTTACTGTTCATTAGACTGACACAAAATGAAACATCTTCTGTTCTAGAGTAACTTATTTATCTATCCATACCCTTAAAGAGAAAAAAGCATTTTCAAGCTATAAAAAGATATATATATATAAATAGAATTTGATTTTAATGGCTTTTAATTTAAATGTGGCTAAACTGATTGGTTACATTATACGTATGAAYGAGTTACATTCTGAAAAATATTTGAAATAGGTGTTTGTGACTTCTAGGCGGAGATCAGTGGCCATTTGATTTTAATGATTGAACTGTAGAACTATTTTCTGTTGTTTAAAATTTGCAAACAAAAGCTGTGGGAAAGCATCACACACTTTTTTTTTTTTTTTTTTTTTTTTTGCAATTTAAGCTTAGTGAATGTGTGAATGAGAAATCTAAAATTTTGCCTTAGTTGATATACTGTTCAGTCTGAGCTAAACTTCCTTTGGCATCCCATTTGTTTGCAAGCTGAAATGTTAAGTTGCCATACTGATACAGCTGCCTAAACTTCAAAAAGATTCCGGCACGCTTGGAAAAGAAGCATTTCCCATCCAAAAGGTTCACTTCCAAATGGAAACAGTGCATATAATTATACACGTTGGATTATCTCAAAATGAACTAAATGTGAGCAGGACAGAGTAATAAGATCTTTGTGTTTCATGATGCATAAATAGCAGCCATCAGAGATTGCTGTATTGTGGGAGCCCTGATGGACAGCAAGTTAAACACAGCAGTGTGTCCTTGTGTCCAAGAAGGCCGCTGATGTTCYGAGGTGCGTTGTGGCCAATGCCATGGGAGAGCGTGGCCAGGAGCTCAAGAGAGGCTGTAGAGCAGGTGGGACCAGACGTGTTTCAGCGGGGCCCAGCAGCAGCCAACAGTCACAAACTGAGACACGGGAAGTTCCATCTGAACACGAGGGAAAACCTCTCGACYGTGAGGGTGACAGAGCTGCCCAAAGAGGTTGTGGAGTCTCCTTCTCTGGAGATCTTCAAAACCTGCCTGGATGAGATGCTGTACAACGTGCTCTTGTTGGAGCCGAAGGGGTTGGACTACATTATCTGCAGAGGTCCCTGCGGTGTCTGCAGGTTCCTCATCTAGGAATGCACATCTAGCCAGAGCAGCAGTATTAGTTCCTGCAGGAGAAAAGGAAAGGGGAGCGAGAGCTGAAAGACAACATTGTCAGATTAGAGTGGCAAAAATGGCTTTCTGCTGAATCAAAAGGTAATAGTTACGGGTAGGATGAAATGCAACCTACTCTTCTTGGAGCCCACAACATAGTACAGAAACAAAATAATAAGTGAAACCTGCCTATTGTTTAGATTTGGATATATGGCATTATGCAGAGTGGTTCAGGTGCCAGGAAAGACATGTCACTGTGTAATAAACATCTTTGTATTTAGGGTTGATTAGTAAGAGCAAGTAATGAATCAATCTGCTAGTGCAGTTCAGAAACTGCGTCATTATAAAATTATAGCAGTATTATGTTTTATGTTTAGAGAGGAGCTTATACAATTCCTCTTTGTAATTGTGATTTTAAATCTACTTCTTACTAATACATAATTCTAATATAAAAGTGATTCAATTCCTTTTAATTGGTTAGATCCTTGAGTTAGGAAGTCTAGCAGTGTGCATGTTTGGAAGGCAAAATGTATTAAATGGATGTGTTTATGTTTAATGCACTAAACATTGAGGATCTGGCTGYTTTAAGGGAATACTGGTGAGTTCTGAAGGTTTTTCCTAGCCCCATAAGTCACCAAAAACAATGTGCCCAAAATTAGCAGTGACCAAGTCTTTATAATCCAGCTGCATGAAGGCCCTCCTGGAAGAAATGGCAAATCCTAAGTGCATGTAAAGAACAATGTTTTCTTTCATGTAAACCTGCCATTTCTTTGTTTCACACACAGAAAATTCTGGGTTATGAAGGAGACCTAGGAACACTGGACCAAGAGATCTAAGGATAAGTTAGCTGAGCCATGGTTATGATAACTGTTTTTGTAAAGGCTGAGAGAGCTGGGCCTGTTCAGCCTGGAGAAGAGAAGGCTTGGGGGGGGACCTGATCAGTGTCTATAAATACCTCAAGGGAGGCAGTGAGGAGGAGGGGGCGGCCTCTTTTCAGTGGTGGCCACTGACAGAACTAGAGGAAATGGCCACAAGCTGAGGCACCAAAAGTTCCACAGGAACTTAAGGAGACACTTCTTGACAGTGAGGGTGACAGAGCCCTGGCACAGGCTGCCCAGAGAGGTTGTGGAGTCTCCTTCTCTGGAGATCTTTAAAACCAGCTTGGACGCARCMCTGTGACACGTGCTCTAGGAGACCCGGCGTGTGCAGGGGGTTGGACTAGATGATCTCTGGAGGTCCCTTCCAACCTTGAGCATTCTATGATTCTAATTGTGTATGTATACAGAAATTTTTAGAAAAAAACTTCAGGGAATGATATAAGTGTTGATGCTGAAACTGAATAGAGAACCCTATTGCAGTTCCTTGAAAACTTTTACTAATTTGAAAAGCTATTGGAAAAATTGTGAGAAAGAGCAGATCCCTCAGGTATCATATAGAATCATCTAAGGGTGACTTGTGGTGTTTGGAGTGTTAACTTGATCTGTCTACAGCATCATTGTTTGCTCCTAAAGTGATAGATAATGGATGGGTAGAACAATATTATGTAAGATTTAAGTTTTCTTCTGTTAGAGATGAGATTTTATCTCTTTGCGGGATTTTGAGAAACTCTTCTCTGTTTCCTGGTAATTACAGTCAATATTTTCCCTTGTGTCCCTCATCAGTCCTGCAGCAGAGGAGAAAATATCCCTTAATCTTCATTTGTGTCCACTGAGCACCCAGTCAGCTACCCAAATTTCAGTTCTAGTATTGATCACTGCTTCTAGTTGTACTGCCATCTCTTGTAAGAGCATTGCACAACTCACTATCGTGACAGGATTTTATGATCTGTGTAGGGKTTTTTTTAATTATTACTATTGTTCATTCTGTTGGCAGATATGGTAACATTTCACTTATTTAAAGCCTTTTCCTGTTGCAAAGGGTAATTAAAGATGTGAGCGTATGTTGTACTTAGTTCTAACTATTTAATTTTTAGGCTGCTTTATGATGCTGTGTAATCATGCTGATTGCTAGTTTTTCATGTAATTTCCTTTTTCAGAAATAACATTTAAACCATTTCACCAATTTCAACCAGGTTTTGAGGGTTTAGGTTCTTTAAATGCTTGTGGAAATTTGGTAATGGATGGTGTGTAGAGAACTAGGTTTCTCAGTGAGAAAAAAGCCTGAGCCTAGCTATAAAGTTACCTTCCAAATAAGCCACAATACATGATATCATCTGATAGTACTATTCAGTGTGAGGATTTGCTGCCTTGCCTAGAAAATTACCAGAAGTTGGATAATCCTGTCAGTGTATTAGTATAATGTCTGTATAATAGGATCTGCTAAAGGACAATTAATTCAGGTATTGGCTCTGAAAATGAAGCATAGCAAAGAAACATAATTGTGATAGTGCAGTTGTACTTTAAACCAAGGTTTATAATAAAATTTGTCAGTAAAAAATATAGTTTATGTTAAGGTGAAATCCTCAGAGTCAATATAGCTGCAGATAGGCGCATAAAACTGTTTCTCTCTGTATGCAGCAGTGCAACATTGCATCGCATGTTATGTTTCACTATGGACATACCATTACTAAAAGATAAACTGGATCAACTTCAAGGAAGAATATTAAAAGTAGTGGGCATACTGACTCCTGAAAAAACATCCAAGGGATTTAACTTTTTTTATATAGTTTGACTAAATAACAAGTTGACTGGATTTGAAACAGGAAGACACATTAGTTACCTGTTTAACACTGCTTTTGGCATTATTAGCTTTGTGCATTGGAACAAGACTGGATGGTGTGAAACAAAAGTTAGAACACATAAAGATCTCTATCTCAGGAAATTTTTCAATGGAAATTAAAAGCCCACACTGTAAGACTTGCTTAATACTAGAAAGGACAGAATACACAAAATTTGGGACTGTGAGAAAGCCACACTGAAAGTAATGTGGTCTAGTTTATACAGGTGTTTATTCTTTTCTCTTTCTCTCCTGTTGATAGAAAGAGTTTACTCAGAATAGTTCACAAATGATCTTACAAAGTCATAGAAGAGTTTTTCTTGGGGGGAATGTGAAATTACCTATACCTATTGTAGCAGGAGAGTCATGCTGATCTACCTTCTAAAGAGTTACTTTAATACTCGAAAAAATACATAAAAATAAGGGTGCACTATGTAAGAATTTTTACAGTCTATGATGAAGTTAATCTGCTATCTGAAAGTGTACTAATCTATGAAGATAACAGATCAAATCAACACTGTACTTCTCAGAAATAATTCTCTAGAACTTGCATAACAGTTATTTCAGGAGTGGCAGAATCTGTTGTTTAAATAACTTAAGACTTCCAATTTTTAATCCCTTTGGAATCAGAAATGTAATGATTGAGCATTTTGTACTGGAATAAWAATGGTCATTTAACCAAAGTAAATGTCTTTTAGTCCAATGTTGGTGGTAATTTTTTGCTGGAATTCCTTTCTCTCTCTTTTGCTCCCTACTTGAAGTTGTCAGATGTAGCATCGGAATTACTGAAGTCAGCATGAGGTATGCCAAGTATCTGACTGAAGGAAAGGCCAAGCAAGAAGACYGAATAGTGGGAAACGGAATGATTGCAGTATTCTTCTAGGATAAAAGGAATATTAAAATAGAGAAAAATAAATAGAATGATAACTAGAATAGATATCTGGGTTGGCAGTGCTGGAAGGGGGCACTGATACCTGCTAAAGAACAAGTGTTTCCTGGTAGGGTCAGTGGGAAATCTTGTTCTTCCC